AAGAGTAGTACGTTTGCTGGAACTGGTGACCCTACATTAACATGGTATCATCACCCTAAGTTCATTGTTTATATTAGGGTTTGCGCTTTCTCATTTTTTGTAAAGTCTGCTTTATTTAAATGCTAGTAGTAGCAGCATATAGTGTTTTCACTACTGTTTCTTATAATACACAAGAAATTCTGAAGCTATTCAGTGTACAAATCCTTTCAAGATGACCTTGGGAGATTTACTTTCTTTGTATGACTAGCTGCCGTCATGTCTAATCCATAGGATCCTCAATGACATTTCCCAAAGGATCTTGATAAAATGAAGTTCTCAGGCCCATCCACAATGGCCCATGCTGCTCACTTGAAAGGTGTGTATAGGGACCAGCAGTTAGCGTAATGGTTATGTCGCTGGACTCCCACGTAGTCGACCGCAGTTCAAGTCCTGGACCCGGTGGCTTAAACTTACGCCGGGCGCGTGTGTGTGAGTGCCCAAGATCCCAAGAAGAGAATGGAGGAGAAGGGATTGCAGCGTGGCCATCACCCATGGGGGTGGGGGGTGATTTCTCACTTTCTATCTCCCTGTCTCTCTCTTTTTGGCAAGCGCACGTGCCCTATAGCAAAAACCTCTCAAAAAAAAAAAAGTTTATGTAAAGGATTTCCTGCACAAATGGGATCATGTGGACAGCCAGAATCAAGGTGCAAAGGCCTTCTGAGGGCACTAACACTGAGTTACTACCATGCTGGTACGGGGGTAGTCCTTAAGCATGTGGGTTGATACAGATACGGGTGGGGCTGTGTCCTTGGCCTTAAGGAATTCTAGTTTGGATTCTGACAGTGCAGTAGAGAGGAGAAGGAAGAGAATTAGAGAGGTAGCAACTAAATTTAAGGTTCACTCTTGATGGTATATAATCTATGGGTTTGGACAAATTTATAAAGACATGTATCCATCATTATAGTATGATCTGCTGTTTTTACTGTCCTAAAAATCCTCTGTGCTCCAGCTACTCATCCCTCCTCCTCCTCAACCCCTAGTCACCACTGACTTTATTTTACTATCTCTCTCATTTTGCCCTTGCCAGAATGTGTGTTGGAATTTCACAGTAGGTAGCCTTCTCAGATATGCTTCTTCCACTTAGTAATATACATCTGATACTCTCCCATATCTTTTCATGGCCTAATTGTTCATTTCTTTTTAGCACTAAATATCCAATTGTCTGTATGTACCAGTTTACTTATCCGTCCATCTACAGAAAGATACATTCCAAGTTTAGGCAATTATGAATAAAGCCACTGTAAACATTCAAGTGTAGATTTTTGCCTTAACTAATTTTTAAAATCCCATGGATAAATACCAACGAGCATAACTGGATCACTTAGTGAGAGTATGTTTAGTTGTGTAACAAGCAGTCAAACTACCTTCCAAGTGCATTCCCACCAGCAATGAATGAGAGTTCCTGTTGCTCCACATCCTTGTCAGCATTCTATGTTGTCAATGTTTAGGTTTTCGGCCATTCTAGTAGGTATGTAGCGGTATCTCATTTTAAAAATCTGCTTAATGTCACCTAATGATGTATGATGTTAAATGTCTTTTCATAGGCTTCTTTATCATCTCTATATCTTCTTTCTTGAGGTATCTGTTCAAGCCTTCGCCTTTCTTAAAAATCATATTGTTAGTGTTCTTCCTAAGTTTTAAGAGGGTGTGTGTGTGTGTGTGTGTGTGTGTGTGTACAGAGAGATATAATAGTAGTCCTTTATCAGATATTTATTTTGCAGATATGTTCTCCCAGTCTCAGGCTTGTCCTCTCATTCTCTTGACAGTATCTTTCACAGAGGAGTTTTAATTTCAATGAATTCCAGCTTGTCAATTCTTTCATGGATTGTGCCTTTGGTATTGTATCTAAAAAGCCATACCCAAGGTCATATAGTTTTTCTCCTATGTTATCTTCTACGAATTTTATAGTTTTGCATTTTATACCTAGGTCTGTGAATGATTTTCGAGTTAAATTTTGTGAAGGGTGAAAGTCTGTATCTAAATTCTTTGTTTTTGCATGTGTGAGTAGGTCCTTTCAGCACCATTTGTTGTAAAGACTCTTTTTCTCCATTGTATTAACTTTGTTTCTTTGTCTAGGATTAGCTGACTTTGTGTGTGTTAGGGAAGAAAATCTATTTCTGGGTTTTACATTCTGTTTCCTCCCTCCCTCCCTCTTTTCCCTCCCTCCCTCCCTTCCTTCCTTCCTCCCTTCCTTCTTTCTTTCTTTCATACTGTCAAGCATATGGTCTTTATTACTATAGCCTTATAGTAAGCCTTAAAGGCAGGTAGTGTTACTCCAACATTGTTTTTCTTCATTGTTATATAGACTATTCTGGGTATTTTTCCTCTCCATATACACCTTGCAATCCATTCATGATATCCACAGAACAATTTGCAGACATTTTTATTGCACTGACTCTAAAGACCAAGTTTGGAAGAAATGCATCTCCACACTATTGAGTCTTCCTAACCACAAATATATACATATATTCATTTAGTGTTTCTTTGATTTCTTTCGTCAGAGTTTTGTAGTTTTCCTAATTTATATTATGTATATATCTTGTTAGGTTTATATCTACATATTTCCTTTTTCTGAGTGCTAATGAAAATGGTATTGTGTTTTTAATCTCAAATTCTACTTTTTCAGTACTGGAATATAGGAAAGCAATTCATTTTTGTATATTAATCCTGTATCCTACAATCTTACTATAATTACTTAATTCCAGGAGTTGTTTTTTTTTTCTGATTCTTCTGGATAATAAGTAATAAATACTGATACATTAGTAACTAAAATCCATACTAGCTTTTATTTTACCTGAGGTCTTTTTTCTCTCTAGATCCTACCCTGGACAGATGCCACAATACATTTGCTTATAAGGTATACTTAAGCTCTTCTTGGCTTAAACAGTTTCTTAGACACTCCTTTAATGACTCTAACAGTTTGAGGAGTATTGCTCAAACGTTTTGTAGGATGCCACTGTATTGGAATTTACCTGATGTGTATAGTAATATTAAACTAGGGTATGAGTCTGGGGGAAGATAAGGGTAAAGTGCCATTTTCAGCACACCATATGAATAAATATGATGACATATTTGATCCATTTTTATATATTTCATTTTATTGCTTCACAATAGATCACTAGAAATGGGATTTTATGACTCAAAGTGTATTTTAAGAACTAGGATTTTTGATGAACTTTACCAAACTGCTTTCCAAAAGGGTTGCAGTGCATGTCATACCCACTAACAACGGATACATGACAGTTTGTTTCTCTGAATCTTTACTAGCATACTCTACATTTTTGGCCACAGTTTGGTCTGTGGGATGGAATGTTGTAATTGTTGATGGCAAAAATCATCCCACAATTAACAGTGGGTTCATGTTAAGTAAAAAGTATCCAATCAGGGGACCAGCAGTTAGCATAATGGCTATGTCGCTGGACTACCCCGCAGTCAACCGCAGTTTGTGTCCCAGACCTGATGGCTTAAAACTCACACCGGGTGTGTGTGCGTGCGTGCCCAAGATCTCGAGAGGAGAATGGAGGAGAAGGGATTGCGGCATGTCCATACCCCCGGGGAATGATTTCTTGCTTTCTGTCTCTCTGTCCTCTCTCTGTCTGGTGAGCGCACATGCCCTATAGCAAAAACCTCTAAAAAAAAAAAAAAAAAAAAAAAAAGAAAGAAAGAAAGAAAAAAAGAAAAGTATCCAATCGGGACTTCCAAACTATGACTGAGCTCTCCTTTCAGTTTTATCTAACATTATTCCACTCCTTACACCCACTCTACACTCCAGCCAAACTGGACATCTGTTGCTCCCTGAAAACATCAACATCAACCTTTGTTCATGACCAGTACTCTGCAATGATGTTATTCCATACCCATCTCTGCCTGTCAAAATCTTAGCTTAACTTAGGGTTCACCTCAAATGACATAATAATCTTGAAACCCATTTTGAATCCCATAATTAAATAAGATTTCTTCTCGACATGAACATCCAATACATTAATTAAGGTATTTACTTCTATTTTCTCTCTGTAGATGTATAATTAAATAGTGACTTTTTCTTCAGTTTGTATTTCAGTAAGTAGTAGAAACTAATAAGTAATGAGACCAGCAGTTAGCATAATGGCTATGTCACTGGACTCCCATGTAGTCGACCGTGGTTCGAGTCCTGGACCCAGTGGCTTAAACTCACGCCGGGTGCATGTGCATGCGTGCCCAAGATCCTGAGAGGAGAATGGAGGAGAAGGGATTGTGGCGTGGCCATCTCCCCCGGGGAGTGATTTCTCACTTTCTGTCTCTCTGTCTCTCTCTGTCTGGCAAGCACACACACTCTATAGCAAAAACTTCTCCAAAAAAAGAAAAAAAAGAAAAGAATAAGTGATAACCATATTTTTCTAATCAAGAACTCTAAGAAATATTTCATTCATCCTATAGCCCCTCCCAAAATAATACTGAACCCTTAAGACAGAATTCCTCAAATGCTTTAATAAAAGATTTGTCCTTATAAAATACATGCTTTTACTTAAGGCTTTGGATGTAAGTTTCAAGATCTGTAAACCATATCTACTGCCTTAATTCTCAAGGTCACTTAAGAACTAGCAAGTCACAAGCCAGACTGTGAAAGACAAGCTTTGTATGTCCCCACTTAGTATATACCAATTGTCTGTGCTCTATAGCAGAAACTTAATGTTTGGAAGGTGTAGTAGCAGGGAGGGCAACAGCAGATACTAAAGATAGTAAGGTTAGGAGTAATATGGGGGGATGGGTAATAGAGAGAAGGAAGAGAAGGCAACAGGGGAAGGAAAAAAAGTATATTTAATTGACCAAATAATGAAAAGCTATTTGCTGATGATAATGTATGTAGTAATGTCTTTGTCTTGACTCATATGCATGGTATTCATTCTGGAAAAAGCAAAGTACGCTGTAAAGATATATGTGATTAAATGTAAATTAAAATTAAAATTAAAAATTAATAAAGAAAAAACTAGAAAGTTAAAAACTAAATAAAACAGCACAAGTAATTAAAACTTTAAAAACAAATTCTATGTCAATATTTTTTGTTAAGAGAAGGTGGGACAGAAAGAGAGGTATTATTGACAGCATCTCACTGTGTCACCACCCTCCTGCCTCTGCCTCCTAATTAGCTAGGATTACACTTCTCATACCTGTGCCCAGAGTGATTCTATACTCTTGGCAAGAACTGTTACAAGTTCATGAAATAATATGCTCATTTACAGTTGGGTGAAGGACTCTCCAAGAAGGCAAGCAGAACCCAGTCAAGTCTGAAGAACCCCCCCACTATGCTCTTCTATAATCATCTGCACCATTGGCTCCAAGTTGAGCAAATTCAAACTGGGTTGCCACATACACTTAATTTTTAAAGGCACCCTGTATTATAAATAAAATTTTCAAGTCCTGAATGTTTCTTCATAGCTTTGCTGAGGTAAAATAATCAATAGCTCCAACTGCAAGATACAGTGAGAACTGTAGCTCAGAACTTTCTGTTGTTATAAAATTATTTTAGGTTGTTTATGATAATTAGAGTCTATCTTCTAGAACTATATATATTAGTAGATGACAATGCTTTAATGTTAGAAAAATTTTCTGTTCTGACAAATGAACACACTGTTTATAGAATAGCCAATGGATACATACATTATTCATAGGAATAAAAGAACACAATAAGTGGTAAGAGAAAGATGGAACTCAAAATGCAAGCTAAAAAGGTTTGTAAATGTAACTGAAAATCCTGAGCTCTTAAAATTTTCACACTTCTTCAGTCTCACTATTATTTACACACACGCACACACGCACACACACACCAGAGATCCATATTATAATTTTCAACCAATATTTTTTAAAAAGTTTGTAATTTTTCGCAATAAATTCTACCTTATTCATAATATAATTCTATGTTCTATTAGCAAACTTCAACCTATGAGTGAAACCTTACCTGCTGCTCATTTTTGTAAATGAAGTTTTATTGAAACACAGCCATATTTACTCATATGTACTGCTGTTTACAACGACAGAGTTGGTAATTTTAGAGAGACTAATTCGGCCAATGAGGACTAAAATATTTATTTCTGGCCCTTCACAGAAGTTTGCTTATCCCTGGCACATACTTTCAAATACAGACTATTACAAATGTTAGGCTGTAAATGACTTATGGTGAAGCCCTGTTTTTTAACTTCCTTAAAATCACTGCACAAATTTTTTGTCCATTTCCCTCAAACAATGGTAAAATCTATCCTATCATTTTTGTCTTTTCTCTCTCTCTCTTTTTTAATAGCCAGAGAGCGCACGTACTCATCAGAAAGAGAGACACAGAAAGAAAAAGAGAGGTGGGGCTGGCAGGTAGCGTGGTGGGTGGTTAAGGTCACTGGACTCCCACAAAGCTGACCACAGTTCGAGCCCCCGACCTGGTGGCTTGCTTTCTCACTTTCTCTCTCTGTGTCTCTCTGTCCCTCTCTGGTCAAATTAAAAATAAATAAAGTTCAATAAAATAATTATTTTTTAAAAAGAGAGAGAAAGAGAGGAAGAAAGCATCCTCGATGGGGCATGGTTGTTCCACAACCCTCCGCCTTCATTTCTTCGTCTTGTTGAGGTTTAGGATATACACGCACAGGCACCCCATGTGTTTCTCAAGCTGCCAGGGCCAAGATTCAAACTGCAGTCTGCCATATGGGATCCAGCTCTCTTAACCACTAAGCTATAGGATCAATCTCTTTTTCTCTCTTAAAATATGAAACTCTTGGGTCTTGACACATTGAAAACAAAATACTACAGTCAAGCACTTTCTCAATTGCTAGAGAAAAGTTTAATTTCTGAGGTAATGATAAAGGTATAAACTGAAGAAAAATGTAATATGTAGAAATAAATAGGTAATTTAAAGAAAATAATATTTTATTAAATTTTGCATATATTAAAAGAGCTTAAATTGCTACTTACCAGTTAGTGAAAGCACAGAAGTCTTTGCTAACCCTGAGACAGAAGGTGTATATCCTGCTGTTGGACTTTTACTAAAAAAGAACAGAATTTGGTTTAAAATACAAGGACATGCTTTCTTTCTTTCTTTCTTTCTTTCTTTCTTTTTTTTTTTTTTTTTTTTTTTAGAGGTTTTTTTCCTTTAGGGCATGTGTGTTTGCTGGAGAGAGACAGAGACTTGCCAGACAGACAGAGAGAGACATAGAGACAGAAAGTGAGAAATCACCCACCGGGTGGATGGTCATGCCACAATCCCTTCTCCTCCATTCTGCTCTCAGGATCTTGGGCACACACGCACACGCGCTGGCGTGAGTTTTAAACTACCGGGTTCGGGATGTGAACCACAGTCGACTACATGGGAGTCCAGCGACATAGCCATTATGCTAACTGCTTTCTTTCACTCTCAATCATCTAACAGAGGTTTTTTTGGGATTTGTTTTGTTTTTCTTGTTTTTGTTTTGCTATAGGGCACATGCATTTGCCAGAGGGAGAGAAAGAGAGAAAGTGACCCCCTTAGAGAGATGACCACGCTGCAGTCTCTTTTCCTCCATTCTCCTTTTGGGACTTTGGACGTGCACACACAGGCGCATGGTATGATTTTAAAGCCACCAGATTCAGGACTGAACCACACAGTCAGCCATATGGCACCCAGCTGCCTCCACTTACCTATGCTACCTGCTGACCCACATTACCTTTAATAAATGTCTCTCCTGTACTTCTGAAATATGCTTGCTGCTTTTCTCATTCGTTTTTTACATTGCAGGCCTCCCAACACTTACTTTGTCTATAATTTTAAAATATTTTCTTGAATTTTTGCTTTATCAGAATTACAGTTTTTCTTTCAATGCTCAGCCAGGACAGGTAAGATTTTCTTGGAAATATCTTTAGTTATAATCCCTTTTGTCCATCTTCAGATCACCCTATTGGCCAGGAACTCTAGATAGAACTATTGGTAATGGTCAAAAATATGGCTGAAAATCTGGAATAAGCTGTCTTTGATAAAAGAACATTTTTTTTCTGTAATGCTATTTATCCTTTTTTTTTTTTTTTTGGAGAGATTTTCACTGTAGGGCGCGTGCGCTCGCCAGACAGACAGAGAGAGACATAGAGACAGAAAGCGAGAAATCACCCCCCAGGGGGGATGGTCACGCCGCAATCCCTTCTCCTCCATTCTCCTCTTGGGATCTTGGGCACGCACGCACACGCGCCCGGCGTGAGTTTTAAGCCACCGGGTCCGGGACATGAACCGCGGTCGACTACGTGGGAGTCCAGAGACATAGCCATTACGCCAACTGCTGGTTCCCTAATGCTATTTATCTTGATAAATTATTTCTAAAGACATTTCTGTTTTACTAAAATTAGTTTGTCAATTGATATGGAGTTATTAAATATTACAAGTCTAGAACATATAAAACATCATAGAGAAACCAGCAGTTGGCATAATGGTTATGTTGCTGGACTCCCCCACAGTCGACCACAGTTCGAGTCCCGGACCTGGTGACTTAAAACTCATGCTGGGTATGTGTGCGTGCATGCCCAAGGTCCCAAAAGGAGAATGGAGGAGAAAGGACTGAGGCTTGGCCAACCTCCCAGGAGGTATGATTTCTCACTTTCTGCCTCTCTGTCTCTCTGGCAAGCACATGCACCCCATACCAAAAATCTCCCCCCCCTAAAAAAACCACAGTAATTTAATTAACACTGATTTTTTTTTTCTCATTTTAACTGTTAATAACATTGTCTCCTGGGCTAAAGGAGAAACCTGACATACATCCATGTTAAGACAGTTCGGTTATGAGCACTTTACCATGTGATCATGCATGCCAGTGCTTCTTCAGATACAGAAACAATATTAATAACAAGTGGCTGTACATAAGCATTTAGCAAGCGGGGCACATTCGTATTCATTTGGAAGTGGCACATGTGATACAGCACAACCTTCCTAACAAAATGATACATAGATTTCATGATGTTATTACACAGCGCCACGGCAGTATTCTTCCTAGAATGCCAGTATATCTATTTTATGCAACTTGGTTAACTTTTTAAGAAAGTAAAACAATGTTTACAGAAGAAAACTGATCAAGTATTAGCCTATTAAAAACTCAAAATTAATCTTGATTTTTATAATGTAGAGATTTCACACAAGTAAAGATGTAAAGACTATAACAGAAAAAGGTTAAAAAGTGAATAGTTGACGATCATACCTAGCACACTTCTCTAAGTTGCTATATTTTGCATGAAAAGCTTGATTATTGAAAGACTGACTTCGAATCAATTTGGACTTCTTGATTTCTTTGCCTAGAGTAATAAACAAAAAGTGCAACTGTTCATTTTTTTATTAATTTATTTATTTTTCATTTCATTTTCTTTTATACATTCAATCACATTATTATTTGCCTTACAAAATGGATATTTCAACAGGTGAACATCTCTCCCCAAAACAGCTTCAACAGACAATACCACACTTCCCTGTGACATCAATCCTTCATTTTACCCTTAGCTGCTCGAACCCCCTTGTCCTTTCCCAACTGCTACCATTTTCAGTACGACACAGGCGGGCTAGCTTTCTTCCCTTATTGACCTGACCAGGGTATCTCTTACCCAGAATACCCAGTAAGAACTACCTAAACAACTGCTGATAAAAGGTAAAAAGTGCTTTAGAAGAATATAGCTCATCTAACATAGTGACTTTACTTGCAATTAATTTGTATAAAATGATAATATTGTTATAATAGAAACATAAAATGAAATTATTTCTTACTTGTCGACGGGGTGGCAGTAGAGGGTCCAGGCGCAGAAATGGGAATGTTTTTGGGCAGACTTTGCGTCGGTGTCTTAGTGTCTCTACCTAAAATAAACTCTGTTTTAACTTCTATATTTTTCTGAGTCCTTATTAATCTCCGTAAATATACAAGAACAAAAAGAATATGAATTGTCTCTATCTAAGCAACACTCTTTTCCAAATATTCTTCCTTTGTATGTTTAAATACTTCATTGTTTGCTACTTAGTGTTCAATATCACAATCTTACAGCTGTTACAAACGTCAAGCTTTCCCCTTAAAGGATCCGAACCTTTTATTCTTTTTTAATTTTTTCTTCCATAGGGCACATGCACTCACCAAAGAGAGACAGGAGGAGACAGAGAGCAGAAAAGTGAAAAATCACCCTCCTAGAGGGAATAGTCACAGGCCTGGTGTGATATTCAAGTTACTGGGTCCAGAACTCTGACCACCGTCAGCCATGCAGGAATCCGGCACCCTAACCACCGTGCCACCTGCTGGCCCCCTGAACCTTTCACTCTTGGCCCTCTCACTTACCCCTGCATTCCTGATATCTATACCATACTCACCAGTCAATATTTAAAAAGAAGTTTTAAGGAATTAAAGGAAGTAACCCAATTCACATATCAAATTAAAAACCCAGCATGGTCTTTCAGAATATCAGGATGCAATATTACGTAACTAAGCGATGAAGTCATAGGAAAACTACTCACGTTTCTTTTCAAAGATTTTTTCACTCATAGGCCTTCCATCAGTCTGCTGCTTCTCTTTCTCTAGTTGTTCCTGTCATTAAAACAGTATCTTAGCATTAAAGGTACAGCTTAAATAGATTTAGGACATTGTTCTGATGAAAAATTAAGCTTTGTGAACTATACAAAATATACAAATATAGTTCATAAAAATGCCTAAAATAAGTTTTTTTTTTTTTCTCTATTAGTGTCTAGCAAGTTCAGGATTCTTTTTGATTTGCACTCATTTACCATCTATAGAATTGTACCCTTGAGAGGGCTTGTCAAACTAAAACAATGAGTTTGGTATCATTGTTGTAATAAACCTTGACTTTTCTAGAAGGTATTGACCTATTCTCATTAGTAAAATATTTATTTCTATTGGTCATTTCAACATCTGATTAGTAAATGGAAAAATAATCTTTTTCTTTAAAAAGATTGAAAGAAAAGGAAATGAACAGTCTCTTAGCAATTTTTAAATGTTTTATTGAAGTACAGAATACATAAAGAAAATACAGTTTTAAGTACATGGCTCAATAAATTTTCCTAAAGTAACCACACCTGTATAACCAGTTCCAAAATCAAGAAACAAAACATTACCAAACTCAGGAGTCCCTTAGCCTAACAGAACAAGTAGGCACGTAAGTCAATGAAGAGCAAAGTTTGAATGGACTCGGCATAACTGACATGCATATAAAACACTCTACACTCAACAAGCAGAGAACAGTCAAGTATAAAATAAAAAGATGGAAAAAGTTGACAAGGTACAATTAAACTATACAAAAATGAGCCAAATGGAAATTTTAGAACTGAAAATAAAGCACATAAAACTGAAAACTATCATTAGCAATGCTTAACAGAAGTATTTATTTTTCTCCATCTTTTCCTCTATTATCTTGATCATATTAATAATATTTTTCATAAAATCTTTGTCTGGTAACTCCAAGATCAGACTCAAAGATTTCTTCACTAATGGTCATAGCAACTTTATGTATATTTTCAAACTAAAAGTAACCCAAATGTCCATTAAAAGGTAAAAAAAATAAACTGTGGTGTATTCATAATATGGAACATTACTAAGAAATAAAAGGAATTACCTTTTGACACAATAATATGGATGAATCTCAAAATAATTATGCTAATAGAATAATAAGACCCAAAAAATGAGTATCTAATACATGATCCAATTTATATGAATTCTAGAAAATGCAAACTAATCTATAGTAACAGAAACTAGATTGGTGGTTGCTGGAGACTGGAGTAGAAGAAGATATACTGGTCATCGGAAAAGTCATGATGTATTTTTCTGTTTTCCTATGCAAAAATGCATCATGACTTTTCTGACGGCCCAACGGATTATGAAGGCGTATGAGAAAATTTCTGGGGTAATGGAAATGTTTGTTTGGTATTTTGATTGTAGTGATGTTTTCACAGTTATGTCTGTATCATTAAATTGTACATTTAAATATATGTGTTAAATTGTAAGTTAATTAGACTTCAATTTTAAAAAAAAACTTTTTTCTTGGTTTTACACTTTTCCTTCCAGTTCATTAAAAAAAAAAAAAATCCAGAAAATTTGTACTCTTCCATGGTCATTTAGGAAGACAAGAAAAGTGGTATAAAATGGAAAGAAATTATTTTTTAAGATTAATAACAAAGCACAGTTCATACTGGTCAGAAAATAGTGTATGTGTGTGAGTGTGTGAAAACTACATACCATTTCCAAAAGAAGTAGTTCTTCTCTTTCTTTCTCTTGATCTAACAAATCTTTTTCATAAAACTTTTTCTGAAACTGTTTAAAATGAAATCATGAAACATTTGTGATGAGTTTCTGCCAAGCTTACATTTTTTTCAAGATAAGGGAAAGATTAACCTTACAGCATCCATAGACATTTCCATTCTGTCCAGCTCTAATACAGTCTAGAAAGAAAGTTTTTAAAGTTATTCAACAATAATGAAATTAAATCAAACATTCATTTCTCAGAGACTGTTGTTCCACAGGAAGTTTCAAAAAAATAAGCCTTCTGCACTCCGTGGAAGTCCAAATCAGAAAATTCTGAAGTTCTGCCCAATTCGGAATTTATGATCAACGTCTACACATTAATGCCAAGATCCACTTCAACTTTTAAAAATTTTAACTCTAAGAAGAATGAGTCTAGAGGCATACTTTAAATGCATGCCATTTAACCAATTTCTAATCCTAGTATCAATCTTTTCTGAATTTTCAGAAACAGTTTTGAATTTTAAAATGTACTTTTGGCTAAATGTATATGGCGTAAGCTCTCACTGGGCTTAAAGTCTTTCATTCCCTCCCATAAACATTTTTTAATTATTATGATGACTAACCAATAGAAGACTGCCTCTAAAAGTATTCTCTCAAATTAGTAATTGTCTTTCAGAATACACTAGTTGGAAACAACTTATTCCTACTAAACAGTGGTCAATCTAATCCAGGGCTCTGTCTCTGATAAAGGGCAGTACTTCTAAAACTTATTCTAGAGTAACTCTAATGGACAAAATAAAGCACATTTATATATTCATGTGCTAAAGTTATATATTGCAAACAAAGTTTATTTCAAGCTTTATTTTTATACTAAATTTATGAAAAAATAATAATTTATCCCATGAACTATCACCTTTAAAAATAAAATTAATTCCCATATTTAAAAAAATAATTAGAGTGAACTATTCTATTTTGGTCCCAAAGCACTGTGTGACTTCTTCTGAGGTTTCCATACTAACACCTCAGGTTTGATAAATATATTGTCATGAGACATATTGACTTTATTATATAAAATGTACTTAAAATAAGAGCTATATGCCAGAATGATCCATTGTAGCTGAGTAATCTATTAATTTAATTATATCACTGTTATAATTACTTATGGGGTTAACTTGGATAATTTATTGAATTAATCAATTCTTTTAGAAAGAATTAACTCTAACTCATGTTTATTACTTTGGGAACTTAACACATCTGCTTAAACTTCTGTACTTAAATAGTAAGGACAGAAATATCTGGAAAAAACAAAGGGAGGTGTGTGCGCGCACGCACGTACATGTGCGTAGGTGTACGTGTTTAGATTCAGACCCATGTCCAACTCTGGGCATTTCTGGTGATTTCAGTTGATAAAAGGGGAATTCCTATTTCTGTAAAAATAAAATCATACTAATTAATACTAAGTCACAGGTCTTCATGTGACATTTGGCAAGGATTCCTAGAAAAGAAAACCAAAGGATTCTCTTTTCTCACCAGTGATACTAATTCACTTATAATATTTAAAAAATTAAGTTCTTTCACTACAAATAAATGCTCAAAATCTATGTGTCAAGTTCACATTCAGATTAAAGTAACCACTTTAATTTGACCTGATCTTATGAAAATATTAGTAATATATTTAGTATAAAGAGTTTTTGAAGACTATAAAGTATTTTAAGGTTTGGACTCCCTAACCCAAATTTTTACTGTTTGTTTTCCAACAGTCTCAAACAATCAAAGTAATAAGATTTCATGTTAAAACAAAAGGAAACAAAAAAGATACACTATTACATCATTTTAAAAGGAATGCACTCAGGGGTAGGTGAGCATCTCTATTCTAGTCTTGGCTCTGCCTTACTAATGTGATCTTCAACAAACTCATTATTTCTAGGTCTAGAGCTTTACTAAAGTCAAACACATGACTGAATTACCTCTTAAGACATTTCCAAAGCTAAATTTCCATTAAAATGACTTTCCCAATTTTATCAACAAATTTTACTGATTGTAATCACTTATAAACAAAGGTTGGCAAATGAACTATTCATTATTAATTAAACAGTGTTTACTGGGCTACCTAATATGCCAAGCTTTCCTTTACAGAGCTTATATTACTACTAATAAATGTTTAATATCTAACTGCACTTTAAAAGGAAATTTCCATTGACCAAGTCCTTCAATAATTCTTACTACCCTAGAAAGGATATAAATATTTGAACATATTGCTATCCTATCAAACTGTTTTATGAAGCTATGATGGATATTGTCTTTTTCAGTAAAGGTTTTTGCTTTACGACACATGTGCTTGCCAGAGAGAGAGAGGGACGGAGACAGTGAGAGGGAAAATGAGAAATCACCCTCCCAGGGGAAGATAGTCACGCTGCAATCCCTCCCATTCTCCTCCTGGGACCTTTGGTGTGCGCGTGCGCGCACACACACACACACACCTGGCGTGCATTTGAAGCCACCAGGTCTGGGACTTGAACTGTGTCAGCTGGGTGGGAGTCCAGAGACTATGAAACCACTATGCCATCTGCTGGCCCCAATTGACATTATCTTAATGAAAGAACTGCAACATTGCAAGAATGGTACTTACTCTTTTTACAATAGCCAGAACATCTTTATCTTTTTCTTGACACAGGAGTTTTCTCACACACATTTCTAACTGCTGAAGTAGATGCTTATCTGCAGGAATCTTCAGAGTAGATTTCACTTTGGGCAGTAAGTAACAAAGTTTCATTCTATAATAAGAACATTTGCTTTTGAGTGAATTTTATAACTAAGAATATAAGTAACATAAAACAAACCAAAAAAACACAAGTTTTAGCCTATGAGTTCATTTATTTATTCATACCACAAATATTTACGGAGTGCCTATTACATGTCAAGCATTCATTATTGCAGGTGCTGAATACAACAGTGAAAAAAAAAAAAACAGTGTGATTCTCTGTTTTCGACTTACATTCTAGTATAGGGTAGGGAAGAGAGAATAAGCACATAAATGTTTGTCAGATAGTGATAAGTTCTATGGAGAAAATTTTTTTAAAAAGACAAGGGAGAATCAGAAGAGGACTGGTGACTTCGGGAACTCCACCGTCTCCACCGTTTCCAGGTGCACAGAGCCCTCCCAGTTCCAGCTCCTTCCCCCACCATCTTTCCTTGCTCCCGTTAGATGGCTGCCATTGAAGACAGTGAGAACTGTCAAATAAAGAATTCAGAATATTCATAGTAATGAAACTAATGAAATACAAGTGGAAATAGACCATGAACTCCAAAAGATGCAAGAGAAAAAAGACAATGAGCTCCAGGAGAAAAAGAAGTCCTTCCACAATTGGAAAGAATAGACACCATAAAAAAGAATCAAATAGAACTATTAGAGATGAAGTTTGCAATAAAAGAATCTAAAACCTCCCTAGATTAGATCATGCAGAAGAGTAAATCTCAGATATAGAGACAAAACCTCTGGCCTAGATGGTCAGAGAAGATGCTGGATATGGTTTCTGTACCTTTGAATCTGAAAAGGTTGGTTTTGTGCCCTAACATGTGATCAATCTTTGAGAAAGTACCATGCAAAAAAATCACCAAAAAGATTGAAAAAGTACCCAAAATAAAATAAAATGAGGGCAATATACAAGAAATACTAGATTCCATTAAACATCCAAACATCCGAATAATTGTTATCCCAGAGGTGAAAAAACTAATAAAGGCATTGATAATCTGTTCTATGAAATCCTAGAAGAAAACTTTCCAAGTCTAGAGAAATACTCAAACATTCAGACCCAAGAAATACAAGGGACCCAAATAGAATCAACCCAAGAAGATCTTCTCCATCGCACATCATAGCTAGACTGGCCAAAACCACAGATAAAGACAAGATACTAAAATTGGCAAGAGAAACTTACAAAGGTTATCTCATCAGGCTAACATCAGACCTCTTACTGGAAACAATACAAACAAGGAAAGAATGGAAAGACATATTAAAGGTGTTAAGAGAGAAGCAATTCCAACCCAGATTACTATACCTGGCAAGATTATCCTTCAAATGGGAAGATAAAAAAAATTCTCAAATAAACAAAAACTGAAAGAATTTACTAACAGCAGACTGGCTCTTCAGGAAATGCTGAGGGGAGTGCTATACCAGGAAAACTAAAGAGATAGAAAGAAATTGAAATTAAAAATATATTAAAGAATAAAAATAAGAAGAGCTGGAATTGCAATATTGATTTCATACAAAATAGGTTTTAAGAAGACAAAAACTGTAAGAAAAGACAAAGAAGGACATTATATAGTAATAAAGTAACTGATTCATCAGGAAGATATAACACTTATAAATACCTATGTGCCCAACTCAGGAGCAACCAAATATGTGAAGAAAAGACTGCTAGATCAAAAAGGAGAGATAGATTGCAACACGCTAATTGTTGGGAAACTCAACACCACACTATGTCCTTCAGACCAATCATCTAGACAAAAATAAGTAAAGTTACAGGATCTAAATGATACCATAAATCAAATGGACTTGACAGACATCTATAGAACCTTCCACCCTCAAACCACAAAATATAAATTCTTCTCACTCCCATATGGAACCTTTTTAAGATCGACCACACTGGTAGGGCAGAAAACAAGCCTTTACAGATTCCCAGGCATAGAAACTATATCTACCATCTTCTCTGACCATGATGGTATTAAACTTGATATTATCTTTTGAAAGACCCCACAAAAATACACAATCATATGGAAACTAAATAATAACTTACTCCTTAATGACTTCATAACTACTAAAGAAATTAAATAGTTAATTTACTGTAGAAATTAAGTGGTTAATTTACTGAAGAAATTAAAAAGTTAATTTACTGAAATCAAAAGATTCATGAAAGCCAATGATAATGAAAACACAAGTTTCCATAATCTATAGGACACCACAGAAGTAGTTATAAGAGGGAAGTTCATAGAATTAGTTTACACAAGAAAAAGATGGGAAAGATGGCAAATGGACAACCTAACATCATGCCTCAGAGAACTAAGAAAAAAATACAAAAAATGTCAGGAGAAAAGAAATAATAGAATATAAATTCAAGCAGAAATAAATAAATAGAAAAATAAATAAACTATATAGAAAATAAATGAAAGCAGAAGCTAGTTCTTTGGAAAGATAAACAAGATTGACATACCATTAGCTAGACTAATTAAGAAAAAGAGAGAAAAGAACCAGAAAAATCAAATTCACAATGAAACACTCAATATTACAATAGACACAATAGAAATACAAAACATCGTTAGAGGAATGTAAGTGGCTATATGTCAACAAACAAGAAAACCTGGATGAGATGGACAAATTCCTGGACACATATAATCTACCAAGATTGAACCAGGAGGACATAAAAAGCCTGAATAGACCCATAACAAGCAATGAGATTGCATTAGCAATAAATAGTCTCACAACAAAGAAAAGCCCAGGTCTTGATGGCTTCACTTCTGAATTCTACAAAACTTTTAAAGAAGAGTTAATCCCTATTCTACTCAAGTTATTTTTAAAGATCCAAAAGAAAGGAACCCTCTCAAATTCATTTTATGAAGCCTCCATCACCCTCATCCCTAAAATAGACAAGGACATGACAAGGAAGGAAAACTACAGACCATATATCTCTCATGAACACAGATGCAAAAATCTTTTTTTTTTTTTTTGGAGAGGTTTTTGCTGTAGGGCGCGTATGCTCACCAGACAGACAGACAGAAAGAGACAGAGGGACAGAAAGCGAGAAATCTCCCCCCAGGGGGGATGGCCAGGCCGCAATCCCTTCTCCTCCATTTTCCTCTCGGGATCTTGGGCACACACGCACACGCACCCGGCGTGAGTTTTAAGCCACCGGGTCTCGGACGCAAACCATGGTCGACTACGTGGGAGTCCAGCGACATAGCCATTACACTAACTGCTGGTCCCCTAGATGCAAAAATCTTCAATGAGATACTAGCAAATTATATCCAACAACATATTTAAAAAAAAGGTTATATATCACGACCAGGTAGGCCTTATTCCAGGGATGCAAGGTGGTTCAACACATGCAAAGTAACAAATGTAATACATATAACAGAAAGATAACCATCATATGATTATATCAATCAATGCAGAAAAAGCATTAGACAAAAATACAACATATCTTCATGATGAAGATTCTCAGCAAAATCAGCATAGAGGGACATTTCTTAACACAATAAAAGCCATCTATGAAAAACCCATACCTAACATCATACTGAATGAGAAAAAGCTGAAAGCTTTTCCACTAAAAACTGGTACAAGACAAGGCTGCCCATTTTCTCTACTCCTTTTCAGTATGGTGCTGGAAGTCCTAGCCAAGATAATAAGAAGAGGAAATAATATGAAAGGCATTCAAATAGGGAAAGAAAAAAAGAATTTGTCTCTTCTTGCAGATGACATGACCATATACATAGAAGACCCCAAGGGTATCCATGATAAAACTCCTGGAAGTAATAAATGAATACAGTAAAGTGGTAGGACACAAAAGCAACATAAAATCTATAGCATTTTTACATACTAACAACAAGCAGACTGAGGTAGAACTGAAGAAAGTAGTCCCATTTACCATAGCCACAAAAAGTAGAAGATACCTAGAAATAAAGCTAACCAAAGAAGTCGGACTTATACAAGGAAAACTATGAAAATCTAAAAAAGAAATTGAAAACGACACAAAAAAGTGGAAGGACATCACATGTTGCTGAGTTGGAAGAATTAATATAATCAAAATGGCAATTCTACCCAAGGTAACCTACATATTTAATACAATCCCAATAAAATGACCAGAAACATTGTTCACTTGTTCACAGATTTAGTAAAGACAATCATAGAATTTTTCTGGAATCATAAAAGACCCCGTATTGCCAAAGCAATCCTTTGCAAGAAGAGTAGAGTAGGAGGCATTCTCACTCTCTGACCCCAAAATACATTACAAAGCTGTGATAATCAAAACAGCATGATATTGGCACAGAAACAGATAGGTGGACCAATAGAATAGAATAGGGACCCCAGAAATAAACCCCAAAACACACAGACAACTGATTTTTTTTTTTTAAAAAGTGTACCAGTCAATCCAGTGGGAAAAGAAAAATCTCTTTAGCAAATGATGCTGGGAAAACTGTGTATCTACCTGCAGGAAAATGAACCTCTCACCATTAACAAAAATCAACTCAAAGTAGATCAAAGAGCTAAACCTAAGACCTCAAACTATAAAACTACTAGTGGAAAACACTGGGGAAACTGGGAGACATCAGGGTACGCAAGAACTTCTTAAATAAGACCCCCACACATAATAATTCCAAAAATAGATAAGTGGGATTACATCCAATTAAGAAAATTCTGCACAGTAATTAGTGTGAATCAACAACCCTTGGAAGGAGGGAATATTTTTGTAAACTATGTCTCAGATAAAGTACTGATAACCAGAATACACAGGGAACTCAAGCAGTTTTCCTGGAAAAAAATATCAATTCAATTTAAAGATGGGAAAAATGAGCTAAACAGAACAAACAACTCTCTAAGGAAGACATACAAACAGACAAAAAGCACATGAGAAAATGTTCAACATTCCTCATTCTAAGGGAGATGCAGATCAAAACCACAAAAAAAAAAACCAATGAGATAGCACCAATCCCAGTCAGAATGGCAAAGACTAAGAAAACAAAAAATGGTAAGTGCTGGCAGGGATGTGGTAAAAAAGGAACTCTCCTTCACTGTTGGTGGGAATGTAAATTGGTCCAGCCACTGTGGAGAGCAATAAGTAGGTTCCCCAAAGACCTGCATATAGAACTACCATATGATTCAGCAATTCCTTTCCTAAGTATCTACCCAAAGGATAGGAGAATGCTCAGTTGGAAAAGTGCTTGAATATCTATGTTTATTGCAGCATTATTCACAATTGCTAAGACATAAAAAAGACCCAAATGTCCGTGAACAGATGAGTAAATTGAAAAAGTGTGGAACATATACTGTATGAAATACTACTCAGTCATAAAAAAAAAAAAATAGATAGATCCTGGCATTTGACAGAAAGTGGACAAATATGGAAGATTTACTGCTGAATGAAGAAAGCCAAGCCATGAAAAAGACACATTGTATGTCTCTACTTTATACTGCCTATCCATACTCTATGGTGGAAATGGAATGATTAGAGGATACGGAAGCATGGAAAATAGTTATGGATACTTGAGACAGTGTGGAAAGAGGGTGGGAGAAGGGGAAAACTGTGAGGAAAGAAATTAAGAAAAAGAGAGAGGTAAGATATTTATAGGGCACAGAAATGGATTATTGTCTGTTGATAATGTGTAGGGTATCCACAACTGGATTGGTGTGAAGTGTATTCATGTTGTGAAAAATTCACTTTACAAGCTAAGTAATATGCTGTGATTAAATGTATAAGATAAATTAAAATTTAAAAAGTAATAATAATAAAAAAGAAGAGGATTAGTGTATTTTAAAATGAATAGTCAAAGAGGCTGTCAGTGAAGATTTCAGTAAAAAGGTGACATTTAATCAAAGACCTAAATAAAGAAAATTCAAGAATGAGCCTTGTGTATATCTGGAAACTAGCACAAGAAAGAGATAGAGCTCCCCTAGGATGTTGCCACATAAGGGCAAAGTGGTCACTGTAACTACCCATGGAATAGCAGGAACCCTCAGTGTGCTAACAAGAAACCAGCTCATGCAGGTTTTTGTGGGCCAGTTAAGGAGACTGCTTTTATCTGAGTGTGATTAAAAGCCACTGGAGGGTTCAAGCAGAAATGTGAAAATGATACAATACAAAGTTTTAAAAGTATAATCTGAGTACTGTGCTGAAATTAGACCACAGATGGTAAAAGATAAAAAAGAAGCAATAGGGGAGGCCCTTGCACGAATTCAGACAAGGAATAATGGTAGACTCAACAAGAGGGATCGAAGCAGAGAAAGTGCAAAGTATCTGGATTCTGAATATATTTTTGTAAGCAACAGGATGTGCTGAGGGATTGGAGGTAGAGTGGAAGAGACAACAGCATTAATATTTTGACCTGAGCAAGTGGGAAGATAAAATAGTAATTTACTGAGATGGCGAAGACTACAGAAGGAGCAATTGCGGGTAAGGAGGATCAGAATTTCATTCTGGACAATGCCCAAGGTGTCTCTTAGATGTATAATGGAAATGCTAAGTGGGCAGTTGGCTCAATGCATCAGTTGTCCATGGTAGACGTCCATGCTGGGGAAGCAGTCAGGACTCCTCAGCATGAAGATGGCATGGAAGCCACAAGACTGGAGAGATCATTACAGGAGTGCAGCCAAAGAAGAAAAGAGATGAAATGAGACAGCCTGAAGTGCCACACAGCTTAGATTGTGTTATAAGGAAGAAACAACGATGAAGATGCCAGAGGGTACAAGGAAGTCTAGGAAATGAAGAAAGCCTTGCCCAGGAGGCATTTCCGAGGAGATGCTCTGTTTTGCTAGCTAAGACTCTGCCTCCTTGCCAGGGCTGGTTTTAGAGGGATACTAGGTGTTTTCTCTTTTGTGGTTACCCTATTCAGTCCTCTGAGTGCTCTCCAGATTACTATTTTTTATTTCTACTGCAAACTTTGAGATAGCACAATTCCAAATCCCATTTTAGAGCTTCCAGGATGCTTTCTCAGCTGAACCTTCAGTGACAGATTTTTCATATAAGATTTGCTTTATACTCAACCAAAAAAAAAAAAAAAAAAAAGATAAAGCAGATATTTTTCTGTTGCAAACCTGGAGACAGCTAATCCCATTCTAGAGTTTCTAGGATGCTTTCTCAGCTGAACTTTCAGTTGAACATTTTTCATATAAAACAAAATTTGCTTTTTATTCAACTAAAAATGGATAATTTGCCTTTTATTCAACCTTCTCTAGAATTTTTGTACTGTCAATAGCAGTAATTGTCTCAGTCTCATTCAGTGCTCATCACAGATACTGCTAAGCCTGGTAATGATTTCTCTAATTAGGAAGTCCCATTTTCTCCAGAGAAATTATTTCATTTCTGGCAGCTGGGGAGAAGGCTTCCCTGAATACCAATAGTCTTTTTCCAGCCTTGAGAGTGTCTAAGACTGATTTAAAATTTTAAGTATTCACTCAAAAAACAATAGTCTATACATACTTCCTTCTTTATAACCTAAGGCATGTCCAGGAAATATATATTCAGCAGAAGCTACATAAGCTATGGTAGTGACGCCATTTCTAAGGGACTCTTGAGTCACAAGATTATAAAATTCTGAAGGTCAGGGACTAGGCCTTTCAGGTACAATAAATTCTTCATGTAGTTATATCAGATGGTTATTCCTCAGAGCACTCTATGAATCAGGTACATCCGTCAGGAGATCAATACATAGAGAAGTTTTGTAACCTGCCCAGAGAAACACAGATGGGAAAGCTGGGACTTCAGGCAGTGTGGCTCCAAAAACGCTCCTCCTATTCTACATGATTCCGCCACCTCTGCCTGTGGTGGCTTCCACTGTGTTTGCTATAGCATCGGGGAAAGGCTTCTGTAACTACAAGCCATTGAGTGCATGGTGGTTCTGGAACCATTTGTTTGGCTGTCAACTGTCCAGCCTGGAGAGCAGGAACCAAGGTGAACTGCTACATGATAATCCCATGAACTGCCAACATTCATGGACTGATACTCAATTAATCTGTGTTTAGTTTTTCAGTTGGCAGATTGCTTCCTTTTAGAGTCGGTGCTATGCTATTAGTCACATTTACCAGAATACAGATAGTTTCATTTCCTTTCAGTTGTTTTTTTCTTTTGCCATAGGGCACATGCACTCTCAGAGGAGAGAGAGAGTTGTAGAGAGGAAAGTGATAAATCAACCCCTGGGGGATGGCCATGCTACAATTCCTTCCATTCTTCTCTTGGGATTTTGGACACACACACATACGCACACATGCGCGCATGCATGATTTTCAAGCCACCAGATCCAGGACTCAAACCACAGTCGATCCTGCAGGAGTCCAGCACCTTAACCGCCATGCCACATGTTGGCCCAAGCTTTTTAAATTATTTTTGTCGATTGCTTGCTAAATGATCATTGATCATATTGGAAGCTGCTTTTTTGGAATCATAACTTCAGTTTTTAAAATGTTAACAATATGGTCAGACCTACTAGCTGCTTAGGAGGAGCAGAATTTCCAACAAGTTCTTCAGTATCTCTCTTTTCTATGGATCTGAATTCATATTTGGAACAGGGATATAGAGCTTAAAACACAGACATCTAATGGCTTCAAATTAAAAATTCTTTTCATTCTATTATCAAATGTATGAATAGCTCATAAGTAAGAATATGCACATACTTAATGCCACTAAACAACATACAAATTTTAAATGATAAAATTTATGTTATGTATATTTACCATGATTTTTAAAAAGAAAATAATACACTTATTTTGGGGAGAGAAAAGGCCAAGTATATTTATTCTTTTTAAAATTTCTGTGTGACCAGTAAATGGCATAGGGATTACATTGCTGGACTTCCACATGGTTAACCATGGTTTGTGTCATGGACCCAGTGCCTTGAAACTTATGCCGTGCACATGTGTGTGCATCCCCAAGATCCCAGGAGGAGAATGAAGGAGGAAGGATTGAGAAGTGGTCATTCCCTTGAAGGGTGACTTCTCCCTCTCCCTCTCACTGTCTCTGTCTCTCTGTCTCTCTCTCCAGTGAGCACATGTGCCAAAAAAAAAACTCTAAAAACTCTAAAATAAATAAATAAATAAATAAATATTCTAAGCAAGTCATTTTTAGGCCTGTTCCATCTAATTTACCAGTTAATCAAATCCAACTAATAATGACTATATTTTTAAGTGTAAGGCAGTTGAACATAAGAGACAAGACAAAGACTTCAAAGTAAACTCTATTTCTCTAAATAACTGGGCCCCTAAAAATAGACAGATGTTCACTAAGCCAATTTTGAATTACCACAGCTGCTTTTTTAAAACTAGTCTTAATGATAGACAGATTAATAATATCTACTTGACCTTCTCCTAATGCCTATATGTGTATTCAAATGGAAACAGAGCTTGCCAATCTGGCTTTGACCTAGTATTGTCTAAACCTAATAAGACAAAATCCAAGACAGTGTTGAAAGATTTTCTAAATCCTATTCATATACATTAATGAAGACTACTAAGAATTTCAAATCCAGCATATATTCTCTGCTTGAGCTTTTAATTAACCAAGAAAAAGATTCTAGTATGTTCAGTGTAGAAGGTCTAAAAGAAATACAATATTTTGAATCTTTTCTTGGCACAGTAACATACCTCACGTTTGCTACAGGATCATGTGTCAATTCAATAGCAGGGAGAAAGAAATATTTACAGAAAAATGATTTGGAAAAGATCTCTATAATAAATTCACAAGTATCCAAAAATCGAAGTCTATTCCAATAACTTTTTCCTTGGCCCAGTTCTAAAAGCAACAAAAATTATAAGTTAATTTTTCTTAAATGAAATGACATATGACAAAGTTAAACACACAAAATCTACAACACATTTCTTTGTAACCATAATTTGTTTAGCAAATATAAGAGATTAAAATATATAAATATGGTATATGAAATTTATAGACCTCAAAATTATTGACACCTCAAAAACCAGCAAAAAGCTTCATTAAATATTGCATTCGATCCCATAAGCAAACAAGCATTTATTTATTTATTTATTTATTTATTTATTTAGATTTTTGCCATATGGCATGTGTACTTGTGGAAGAAAGAACAAAGACAGAGAGAGAAAGAGAAAGTGAGAAATCACCCCCAACCCCAGAGTGGATGGCCCTTCCATTCTCCTCTCAGGATTTTGGGCACACATGTACAGGGCCTGGCATGTTTTTCAAGCCACAAGGTCCGGAACTTGAACCGTTGAGTTGGCCACACAGGATCTGGTGCCTTACCCACCATGCCACCTGCTGCCCCCATAAGCATTTATTAAGTACTGAATGACTATATCTACTATTTCTCGGTCACCCACTACGTGCAAACTGCCACATTATCTCATTTAACCTTAAAAACTAATAAACTGGGATGTACATACTTATCCCTCCCAAAAGGTAATGGTACTGAGAGTGAGAGACATCAAAGAAATATAGCTGGCATATTCAGAGCTAGAATGCAAATACAGGTCTATCTAATTCTAAAATATTTTAATAATCAAGTTAACTCTTTTCTTCCTTTTGTTTCCTTAAAAATCAAAACTTTGAAGTAGATAAAGTCATATGTAAACAGTATTATTAACCAGGATCTTCTTTCAAAATAAAATTGATTCTAAATGTGAGGGTCGGCAATTTAAAAATTAAAATAGAGTACAAAAAGGAAGGTTAACATACACCAAGCATACTTTTTCTTAAATGGAATTTGGTAAGAGTACTCTAATATTTTGAAAAGTGACAATCCAATGGTAAACTCCAATAACCAGAAAATCCCAGTATTTGCCTATGGTGGAAAATAAATATTAATAAAAGTATCAAGATATTCTGGTAAAAGTAAATGTTCAATAGTTAACAAATTCACTAAGTATATAAAAATGTGTACCACTATTTCTAGAATTAATACATTAACTAAAGGTTGTTGCTTTTATTTTAGCTCTTAAGAAAAAGTATGTTTTTATTAATTAACTTAGTTTCTTAAAACATTATAAACTACCTAGGCTTTTTAGATGTATACTTCTATGTACTATCAACTCTACTCAGAGGGAGAAAAACACTCTGCTAATTCTGCTACTATAGAAAGTAAGGAGCCAGCAGGTGCTGTGGTGCTTAAGGTACTAGACTCCTATATGGCCAACTGTGGTTCGAGTCTCAGATCTGGCTGCTTGCTTTCTCACCTCCCTCTGTCTCTCTCTCTCGTGAGTGAGTGCATGTGCCCTATAGCAAATTTAAAAATAAAAGAATAATAAATCAATAAAATTGAATAAATAATTATTTAAGGGGGAAAAATGGAAAGAAAATAGGACCATAAATGGCTAGCCCAGGGCATACTGGTAAAGGGTGGCAGATTCCATGTGGGCAAATGGACAGTTTGAGTCCTGGCCTGGCAGCTTGAAAGGCACACAGGGCAAAGCCGCGTGCATGTCCCAAACCCTGAAAGGAAGGAGAAATGCAGGAGAGGGGACTGAGACATGACCGTTCCCCATCAGGTAGTGCTTGCTTGCTCACTCTCTCTCTCTCTCTCTCTGTCTCTCTCTGTCTCTGTTTCTCCTTGGAGGGCACATGAGCCCTCTGGCAAAAAAAAAAAAAAAAAAAAAGAAAAGAAAAGAAAAGAAAATAGAACCAAAAATTAGTAGATTCATAGATACTCTATTTACATCTTAGTTCCAAATACTAATTCATCAGGGTAAAAACTGGGCTTTCAACATAAATGTACATATTTTAATTTCTGAAATGTAGACATTCACAAAAGATGACTCAGAGTAATTATTACTCTCATTCATCACCAATCTGAGCCTAAAGATTTCTAAAACAAACAAAAATTAACCTATGAAAAGCAAATAAAAGTATACACGGATATTTACCAACATTAACCTAATTACTCATGCCAAAATGATATATAATGTAAGTTGTATGTATGGCCAACTAGTTAAGTTTGCTTTTTTTCCCGAATGATGATGATTACTTACGTTCAATTAATTTTTGAATGACCTCATGTCTTTGTTCTTGTTTACGATTGTAACGTAGAAAAATGCATAGAGTTCGTGAAGCTGCCTTTTGGACAGGTAGGACATTCTTTAAAAAATAAATAAGAAATATAATTACACTAGCTTAATACATATTCTACATAATTTGGTCCCACCAAATCAATTTTTCTATTGACTAAAAGTAAGGTGAGTAGTCATTGCCTACTGAATGACTAAGCCAATATTCTTCTGGAAGAGTCTTCATAACTTAATGTTAATCTCTCAGGCAAATCAGCTAATACAGCATATTACAGACATAATTTATGTTTCAGGAACATCACTAAAAATGTGCCACTACTAAAATATAAACTTAGAGACCCCATGAATAGTTACAGTGGTCAATCTAGCTGTTCAACCTCAATATTGAGATCTCTGGTCTATAATACAGACAAAACTTAGGACACTACGTCAATCACTCTTACCAGTATTCCAACCAATTTTGTCCTTCAAATTTCTGTCACTCCATGGTACAGAGCCTTAATTCTAAGTGAAATCAATCATTTATCTTTACTGAGTTTGGTTTCAAGCCATGTATTAGAAAAAAACTCTCTCAACCAGGTATATTAGGTTTAGTATTCATTTGTCCATTCATTCAACGGAATTTATTGGGTGCTTACTACACAGCAAGTACTTCCTGGGTGCCAGGAATACAACAGTGAAGAAAAGAGACAGATTGTATTCTCATAGAATCTGTATTCTGTGGGAACATTTTTTAAAAATTAATCTGTTTGGGACCAGCAGACGGCATAGTGGTTATGTCACTGGATTCCCATGTAGTCGACTATAGTTAAGAGTCATGGACCCAGCAGCTTAAAACTCACATCAGGCATATGTGTGTCCGCAAAATCCCAGAGACAAATGGAGGAGAAGAAACAGTGGCATGACCATCCTCTCGGGACGGGGGGGGGCGGGTGATTTCTCTTTCTGTCTGTCTGTCTGTATCTCTCTGGCAAGTGCATACACCCTATAACAAAACTCTCTCTTAAAAAAATTATTCTTTAAAATAATTTAATATCCAGTTCATAATAAATTTTTATGAATTATCCCTCAAATATATTTCACAGTTGTTTCATTTCATATAGAACCCAATTAAGATCTACACCTTGTGATAAATGAACACATAAATATATAGTATGTCAGGGATGAAAAGTACAAGAAACCAGCGTTGAGGGAAAGAAAGTGACGGAGCTGGTGGGCTGCTATGTGGATACAGCGGGCAGGACCAAGGCCCTCTAATCAAAACGCTTTGTGCAGAAGCTTGAGCAGTGTGTCAGTCTGACGGTACGTGAATGTCAGAAGCTCAAGCACCAGAGAAACAGAACAGTGAATGCGGAGGTGTGATACAGGTTAAGTTTGGCCACGTGAGGAACAGCATGGAGGCCAGCATGAAAGCAATGGAGACTGAGGCTGAACAGACAGGTGACTAGATTCACCACACACGGGCTCTGGAACTGGACTCCAGACTACATCCTCTTGGGAAGGGTTTCAGTAAAGGAATCACTTTTTCCCTATTTTATTACAAAACAAAATTTTTAAGTACGAAAAGGCGAAGAAATTATCAAATGAACTGCATACCCATCACCTGGATATAACAATGAACATTTTGCCATATATTTGCTTTTTGTTTCATTGTGCTACAGAATTTTAAATGACTGATGTCACTGTAGTTCCCAAATCAACCATGAGTTCAAAAGATTTAGACAAAAGGTCCTGGACTCACATTTGTCATCATGATTGTGAACATTCTTTGTAAGAAACGATAATAAATCTGATCACTTGATATGACCTGTGGCAGACAGGCATACTTCTGCAGTAGCTTCTCATGAGTTCTCCACTTCAAGGAGGCTGCAGCTCGCTGTTCAGCAGCTGTGAGTGCTGGAATCAAGTCGGGTAGAGAGGATAACTGAAACAGACAAACGAGGGTCAATATACATACATCAGTGGCCGCTTCCACGTTCTTACAGTCCACTGAAGAGTGGAATATTCTTGCTCACTGCAGAGTTTAAGAGGAATCTCAGTTCTCACAGGGAGATAAGTATCTGGAGAAATCAAATACTTTAAAGAAGTTCATAAGTAAAATGTATGGTTAGTAGAAATCAAATATTGAAATATAGACTAGTATTAATCATTCTTTCTGTCAGACTGATTACCATAGCAACAACTCTTTTAATTAATATGTATTAAGCCTCAAAATGTCAGTAAGCCTTAACCTTCTAATTCCTTTTGTCCTCACTATTTGCTATTCTTGAATTTTTTATTAATGTCAATGAAAACTACAAATATGAATATTAAGCTCCAAAGATAAATGAGAATCATGGTAATACAAGAAGTATTAATATAAAAATTGCAGAAGAAATTCAAGCTCTTCAAACTCTAATAGATATTTAATGAGCACCTACTATGTGGGAAGCACTATTCTAAATATTTTCTCCACATTCTCTGATTGATTCCTTACAACAACCCCACAAAGTAGGATCACATAAAGCTGAGAAAAATTTTTGATAAATAGATTTACCTTATTTTCTTGAATACTGCTTTCTCCACAAGTAGACATAAGTTCCAAAATTTCTGGAAGATGATCTATAAGAGCATCTAGTACCTTTTAATAGACATATTGATTACTCTTACAGTAATTACTTTGTTCTAGATTAGCTAATTCCACATGTCAATTTTTACACAGAATACTGTTACCTGCCAAACAGTAGCTTGAAAGTTTCTATATTCTTACTCTGGGAAGTCTGAGAAACATGATCAATCGCCTTAACCAATCTACCTTTCAAAGAGATTAGTACACTTGCTTCTTGATATTGTTTAGTCTAAATATGAGACAGCTGCCTCTAGGCAGCTAGCATGCTGTAAAATCACCTTCTAACTTTCAGAGACAGTTCAAACCAGCTAATAGTCTCAATGTTTATCTATATATTGATGAGCTGGTCTTGGCAAGCTGGAGTCATTTAAGTGAATGGGATATACTAAATACAGCATCAAAATAAAAGTGTTTCAAGGTCTTTGTAAGTATATACTCCCCAAATAATGCTAGGAAAAAAATAAAAGATATGAAATGTGACATATGATTACAATTGTGTGAAATAAAAATCTTTAGGTAGAAAAAAGTGTAATATTTATAAAGAAAAATAAAGTAACAAAATAGCAACAATGAATGGAATTGAAGTTACTTTTTTATCTACTTTTTGGAGCTTTCTAAATTGTCCTTAATAAATAAATATACATATACATTTTAAAGTTTAAAATATTCTAAACACTCATTTTTTAAAAAAAAGCTCTTCTCAGTTTCCAATCTATGATGCATTTATTTGAAGTTTCTGGGCTTCAAAGATAAGAGTTCATACAATTTCTAGGAAGGCATTGATGTACTTAGACTTTACATAAAAGAAGTAAAAAACAAAGAGTAAGAAGATCTTACCTCCAGTGATTCATCTTGTAACAATGTTATTAGTTCTTTATGTATTAAATATACTCCAGAATTCAGAAGTTTAGACACCTAAAATGTAGCAACAAAGTCTCTCAGATTTGAGACTACTAGACATATAAAGGTTATAATAATAATTTAAAAATATACCTTTGTTAGATGCTTCTTCTAAAAGAAAACTGTGTTACAATAAATATAAAATTAGACTTTTAGAAAAGTTATTGCATACATAACCAGCTTTTTAGTGTGTTCCTAACAGGCTGGAGAGCACGGATACAGGAAGACAGGGAAGAAGTGGGAGGAAATACACTGAAGTCTTGAATTCCACATCACAATGTGAAATCCCCGGACACCTCCAGTTCACATTTTAAAATCACAGCAGCCAACAGGGTCTTAAAGGATACCCCAGGCATGTGAGTGTTTTTCCCAATTCAGAGTTTCCCAGAGAGGGCAATGTCCACTGACAGCCTATAGTGACACTGGGGTGATAAAAACTCCCAAAAACGCGAGGCAACTCTTTTTTCCCCTCAAAAACTTTAATCAGCATAAAAGGAGTTGAGAGAGTCCAGAAAAAATCCAGCTCCTCTCATAGAAGTTTTATTTTGTTTTGTTTTGTTTTGTTTCCCCTCCAAACAAACACAGGGCCCACAATTCTAGATTCACCAGTTTCTACTACCTTTTAAAAAGAACACACACGTATTGGGCTTCAGTAAAGTTTTATTTTGGGGGGGAAAAAATTCCTGGATAAAAAAGTATTTAAAAATTCTTTGCTCTAAAAGGTCGTTTCTGACTTGTTGAAAATAGTGTCAAAATACTTTTCTGAAAAAGAAGAATAAAGTTAGAATATAGTAAACTGGTTATCAGAATCTAGCATTAACACTGTTAGGAAAATTTAAATCCACTAGTATTACCGTTATTCTAAAAAACAAATCTAGATTAACCCTTCATTTTATGAAGCTGTACATGATTCTTAGCCTACCTTTGTTGTATGATTGCAAGAACATGAGAACTAGTCATTTAGCAAACAAACCAACGATCTCTAAACTCACCCGTATTCATGAAATATTGCTGTATACATATACATTATATATTTCAGCGTGTTTATTTCTATGGTGCTATGTTATGTCTATTATAAAATGTAAGTAAAAAAATAATAAAGGGATGAGACCAAAATAAACATAAATAGAAGGTCTAGTATTTCATAATTCTTGGATTCTGATTCTGTACAACACCAGCTAAAATTACTGATCTAACAACTACATATGCACACAGTAAGCAAGCCTACAGGTCTACTCAGTACATCCTGGAAGTGCCAACTACCCAGTGCCCTCTGCATTCTCCCCTCCACCAAAAGCAGATTTCTAAAGGTATAGCTACAAAGATGATATAATTATGCAACACTGAAATTATTTTAAATAATCACATCATTTAAAGAAATTATTTTCTAGATTTTGTACAGTGAACCCATCTTTCATTCATAACAGATAAAGCAGTACTTTGAAGAAGAACAAGTACCACCCAAGAGTCAAAAGAATTTTAACATTTAGAATGATGCTATGAAGATCCTGTATATTTTCAGTTAATCTAACAAAGGATTTATGCAGGAACCCTGCAAGAAAAGGGATAAAATATTCCCATTGAAAACAAGAATTTTTATAAAGAAAGGAACTATTTTATGATGCCACTTAAAATGGTGACGGTTTTGAAGTAAAGTTATAGCTTATGCTGGCTTATGGCGATGATCACATACAAGTGTTTATTGTGATCATCCAAGAAACACTCCCAATTTCAACCTCAAGGACTGATAAGTTAATTACATTTATCATAAAAGTTTCGATTCACTTTTATTCTTATTTCATGGAGATCTACAACAACTTAATCTAAAAACTGCTCATGAAACGTAATCCATTTGTAGTAAAAACAAGAAATTTAAACAACTCGTCTCTCAACTTTCCTTTTGTTCCCAAATGCTTAAGTTTAGGTGTTAATATTAGCTAAATGTAAATACCATAAAGCAAATGGAAACTGATTTTACATCCAAATCTGCAACAGCCATATCTACCACAATACCTGACTTAAGCAAAGTGCAGAATGAATAGGTTAATAAATGATTAAATGAATATCATGTACTTATGGAAATGGATTCTGCAAACATACTAAAAAGAGACGAGAATTAAAGGAACTTTAAAATAAGATTTCTGACTAGAGCATTCAAGGGAGTCTGTATTTTATATCTGTAAACAGAAGTGTACAAATTATCAAAAAATCATCTAGTATACTTTAGTAGAATTAACAACACATGTAAGGTGGTATCAGTTCTTCAGACTTACTTCATAAAAGCAAATAGCAATAGTGTATCTGACTGGTACTTCAGGGTCATGACAAAGGCAGAAGAATGTAGAATAGAGTTCCATGTGGAAGTTTTTAGGATCAACAAAAACAATCATGGCCTGGTGGAGGTGGAAGGGAGGAGATGAATGGGAAGGAGAGAAAAACATGCATCAATACCTAATATAATAATCATTTCACTTAAACTGAAATCATGTCTTCTGAACTGTAGTTTAATTAGAAATCATACTCAGAAGATCCAACTGCATGATATCATTCTGATTTACACATAGCAAAAAATATAAAATATACATTTTACAAATTTTACTCAGTATGTTATATATGCCAGACATAATGCTGAACAACAAGTGTCAAAAATGGCAGTATTTTTAATGCTACCTATTCACGTATTTTAAAGTTATCATCGAAATGCTCAGCATATATAAATATATCATTTATTACCGGAAAGTTATAAGCACAGTTCTTCCGTACTGAAATATATTTCTTTTCCTGCTCTAGGATTTGGGGTAGAATCTGGTTTTCATTGTGTCCGTTCTCTTGTTGCAAACCCAATGTACAAAGTTTCTTATAAAACTCCAAAAATCTCAAGTGTTGATCTGGAGTAAAAATACCTAAACAAATGCAAAATCTTTGCTCAATATTTCAACTGAAAACAAAACTTAAAAGGAGAAAATCATATCATCAAAATATAACTGGAACTAAATATTTAAATAAATGGTTAAGATAGTTCATAAATAAAATAATGGGAAAATAACTATTACAAACAAGTCATACTGTTTCACCTTATGTTAATTTTATAATTTTAATTTTATAATATGAACTATAGATTATAGAAATTATGCTTGAATTAACTTCTACAGCATGTGTAATAGTATAGACCATAAATAATAATAATTATGTGGCTACCTATGTAATTGTTTATTTATGGTAAATATTCTAAAACTGTCTTCAGAAAAGATGTCTGTGTATCTGTAGAGAAGCTTACAAATTGAATATGAGAGCTACCAAAGTAAATTCAAAATCTTTGATCAATGGAATAGTTCCACATTTACTATCTCAGGGAATTAGGAACTCATATTTTCCACTACATTTTTTAAATGGTCTACTAAATGCCTACAATTGACATAATGAAAATGTGTTACTTTGCTAGATGGTTATACTTAATTTTCACATCGTAAGTACGCTAAGGAGTAATACATTCAAAATTCTCAGAGTTATGGCATTATCTATGTACTAAGCTGAATCTCTCATTTAATATATAGATCACTCAACAAATAATTAATAAATTTATTTACTATGCAATTTGCCTGAGTGTCTTTATCCCATACCAACACATAGCATCATATTCGGAAATTTAGAGGGCTATGCTTACTTCACTTTGTCACTGTTCTTTCAAATAGGTCCTATTAGAGAAAAAGTCATGCCTAAATATATGACTAAATTATGCTATCAATATTCTAAGAATCAGTAAGACTGTACACAATTAAAGAACAAGTTTCACAATCATAAAGTTGAAGGTTAATGGTTAAGGTAGGGGGAGAAAAGGGAAAAATTATCTATAATCTTGAAATTCTTAGGATATAGCATACCATAAAGTCCATGGCATAGTTTTCCTAAATGGAAAGATAAAGAAATAAGAATTGATTCATCAGCTTTGAAAGATTTTTCACAAAATGATTTCACTAAGGGAAGTATAGTTTGACTTCTGTCATCTGGAAAACAGAACAAAACAATATATGCTTAGCTCCAGTTGTCTATTCCACACATGGAGAAACTAATGTACATACACGAAAACTCCAAGAAAAGAAAAATTGCTATGTTAGCTTCATTGGAATAAAAGATATCTGAAAACAATGATAATGGAGGTCAGCGGTGAAGAAGCGGTAGGATGAGGGTTAAAATGATCAAAAACGTAGGTCCAGATAAGGGTTTGCATTTCACACTGGGGGCCATAGGGAATAGAACGTAAGGTGTGATTACAAATTGAAAAGCTAAGCTGAGGGACCAGCAGATGGCACAGAAGTTTACATCTCTGGATTTCCACATGGCCAACAGTGGTTCAAGTCCCCGACCTGGTGGTTTGAAACTCATGCTTGGTACATGTGCTTGCATGTGTATGATCCTTGGAAGAGAAGGAGGAGAAGAGATTGCAGCATGGCCATCACCCCCTGGGGAGTAGTTTCTCACTTTCACTCTCACTGTCTCTGTCTCTGGCGAATGCATGTGCCCTAAGGCAAAAACCTCTACTAAAAAAAAAAAGAAAAAGCTAAGATGATTGCGTTTTTTTAGTCTGAATAGCTAAAAAAATTCTAACACCATTTAATAAGAAATAGATCAGTGGCAGGCACAGGAAACTTCTTATTCCACTTCACATACCTCTCATACCTTGCTGCAGTTGAAGCCTATCTTATGATTTCATTTTTTATTGAAATTAAGTTAGTTAGTAATATAGAATTCAATATGCATATTGAATTTTACTTCTTAAATGACTCTTCTTTAAAAGTTAACTGATTCTTTGAACATATGTGCTTAGTTCATAAATTTCTGATATATCAGAATTAAAAGATTCTATTCTGAACACTCTCGAAGTTTCTAACAGTTAAAATTTCAAACCCGAATCACTACTTTATTAAAGGTCTGACAGTGTAAGTAAAACACCCTAACAGGTTTATCAGTATGACTGTTGTTACTGTCACTATTATCATTATACTTCAGTACCGTATCTACTGTTTCTATTACATGACATTCACTTGACATTTATTAAATTTCTCACAGATCAAACGTTAAGTGGCAGAAGTAGAAAGACAAACAACAAATGGTCCCTGAACTTAAAAAAACTCAAAACAGCAAAGAAACCAAACACAAAAATATAAGACAACGTGGCCATTGTTTTACTAGTCGATCTAGGCAGGGTCTGCAAACTTATTTGGTCAATGTTCTAGGCTTTGCAGACTGTTCCAATTATTCCACTCTGTGGTTATAGCACAAAAACAGCCACAGACAATACATAATCAAATGCACATGACTATGTTCAAATAAATTTTATTTACAAAAACAGGTGGCAGGCAAGATTTGGCCTATAAGCCATGGTTTGCCAATTCCTGCTATAAAAGATTTGGAAAGATGTCAGAGAACAAACTGCATTTGAACTAGGCAGTAAAGGAGACGCTGGGGAGAAGAAAAGTGAGGGATGGGAACAACAGGGAGAGAAGAGTATGAACAGGCTAAAGGTGTGAAAGACTCTGATAAAGCAAGTGGAAGTAGAGCATCGGAGGCAAGAGGAGTAGGAAAGAATGGTAGGAAATAAAGCCACGTACACAGGTCAGCCCTGATCTCAGTTAACGGAGAGTGAGTGGCGCAGGAGACAATTTCAAAGATGATGCCAAGTGTCATGGTTTAGATAATGGTTTGTCCCTGAAAGGTTTATATTGTGAGATTTGGTGCCGAGTAATGGCACTGAGAGGTGGTGAGATCTTTAAGAGGTGCAGCCTAGTGGGCAGTGCTTTGATCACAGACATTACCCTCATTAATGGATTAATACCGTCTGGCAAGGCAGATGAGTGGTAGCTCTCATGGTTAGTCTCTGCACAAGCAGGCTGTTCTGAAAGGAAGATAAGTGGCCCTAGGTCTCTCTCTCACACATATCTGCCATCCTCTCTGCTTCTGTCAGCCATGTTGTGACATAGAAAATAGGCCAGCCTGATGCTGGCCTCATGCCCTGGGACTTTCCAGTCACAAGGATGATAAGTCAAATAAATAAACTGTCAGTTTCAGGTATTCTTGTTAGCAACACAATAGCAAACTAAGACACTTAAATTTTCTACTTTGGAACCTGGGGTTGCCAATTAGAACAGAGATTCGTTCATTTATCATGTACTATATTTTTTACTCTTCTGGTTTGTCATATTGCCTAAACAATTTTTCAGCAACACCATCCATAATTATTATTCACATTGCAATGATCTTTTTTTCTTTTAAGAGAGATTTTTGTGGGACCAGCAGTTGACTTAATGGCTATGTCACTGGATTCCCACATAGTCGACCGCGGTTTGGGTCCCAGACCCAGCGGCTTAAACTCACACTGGGCGCATGTGCGTGCGTGCCCAGGATCCCGAGAGGAGAACGGAGGAGAAGGGATTGCAGCTTGGTCATCCCCCCTAGGGGGTAATTTCTCACTTTCTCACTGTCTCTGTCTTTCTGGCAAGCGCACACGCTCTATAGCAAAAGCCTCTCAAAAAAAAAGAGAGAGATTTTTTTTGCTATAGGGCACATGCACTCACTGGAGAGACACAGAGAGAAAGAAAGCAATCCATCCACCCAGGGGGTCAGCTATCCCACAATCCCTTCTCCATTATCCTCATTATACCTGGCATGAGTTCCAAGCCACCAGGTCTGAGACTTGAACTGTGCTCAGCCACATGGGAGTCCAGCACATCAACCATTATACCATCTGCTCGCCTTACTGTAATAATCTTTAAAAGGCTCTCCTAATTCAGATAAAATATTGATAATACAAGTAAATATAATCCTATGATTATAAAATTGAGTTTTATACACAAGTACTTGGCATTTACCCAGTCAAATTTTACACTATCGAATGGTAAATGTTTACTGATGAATGAATGTCCACTATTAGTCGAGAGTCTAGTGATATACTCAGTAAAGCATCCAGTTATCTTTGTGACTTGATCATTATAATATTAAACCTCTTTACCCATTCCTGCTCAAATATCCTATCCCAAATTCTCTTCCTATGACCATGAAATTTCTTTAATTAAAATATTATTGGGGGTGGGGGCAGCATGTGGCATGGTGGTTAAGGCGGCTGGGTTTCCACATGATTGACCATAGTTCAAGTCCTGGACCCAGTGACTTGAAAATCACACCAGGCGCATGTGTATGTGTGCCCAAAATCTCAATAGGAGAATAGAGGCATGGCCATCCCCCTGGGAGGGTCATTTCTCACTTTCCCTCTCTCTGTCGCTGTCTCTCTCCTCTCTGGAAGTGCACACACTCCTATAGCAAAAACCTAAACTATATTTATGTGTATATGTGTATATATGTATGTATGGGAGGAAACTCATTAAGACAGTTTTAGTCAGAATCTGTCTTAATTCAATTAATTAAGAAAAACAAAGGCTGATAACCAAAAGAAATTCTTAGCCCCATGTACAAGTCAAACATAAATTTTGTGAGAGAAGAGAGAAAGGAATGGACTGTGTAGCAGCACTGGATGCTATGAGGGTAAAGTGGAAGCGAAGAAGACACTAGAGGAAAAGGAGTCACGAAAAGAGGAGAGAGGCTTAACATGTACAGTAAGACTTAACAGAAGCAATTCTGAATCTGCTTTTAATCCTTATTAGAAATACAAAATACATGGGGAAGTACTGTTTTCAAAAGCAAAAACACGTCCACATCAAGATTTACCTGTATCAAATATATCAAGCAGATTAACCAAAGTTTCAAAAGCTGCAAGTCGCACACTGCTGCCTTCATCTCTAGAGAGTTCTATTAATTCAGGGAGCACCATGCTTTTCGTAAGTTCTGTCCTGCACAATAAGGAGTAGAAGAAAATATATCAAATCAACAAATTCACAGCAAGAAGTTACAAAGACAGGGGACTAGGATAGGTGCTGTGGAACATATCAAAAATCATAAAGATATTGTTTCTGCTATTCAGAAGCTGCCAGTCTAGCAGGGAAAGTATGACCTAAACATAAGAAATGTGAACAATAACTTCATAATTATTTAAATCAGTTCCACTACCCTCAGCATAATATCTCCCCTCAGAGAACACAATGACTAGGAGTTTATCCTTTTTTTTTTAGAGGTTTTTGCTATAGAGTGTGTGTGCTCGCCAGAGAGACAGAGAGAGACAGCGAGACAAAAAGCAAGAAATCACCCCCCCCATGGGGGATGGCCATACTGCAATCCCTTCTCTTCCATTCTCCTCTTGGGATCTTGGGCATGCACGCACACACGCCCAGCGTGAGTTTAAGCCACCGAGTCTGGGACTCGAACCATGTTCGACTACATGGGAATTCAGTGACATAGCCATTACACTAATTGTTGGTCCCACTAGGAGTTTATCTTAAACTTTATCTACAAAGATGTTAATGACAGAGATCTTAAAGTTTATGTTAAACTTTAAAAATTGTAATATAGTTTTACATTGTAAGCAACTTTTGGGGTAAGGGAACAAAAATTTAAAAAAAAAGAATTTTAAGCAACCTCAGCAAATGATCTGGACTAATTTTAAAAGCTTATCAGTATTAATTGTAAAACCCAAACAAAATCTTTTTACTTATATTTCAAGGCATACATTATATCTCCATTTACCTAAAACACACCACAATAACTATTTTTTTTAACTGACAGGGCTGTGTATACTTGCCAGAGAATCAGAAAGCCAAAAGCAACCCCCAATGGGGCATGCTATCCACTTGCAGAAAAATTAATCTGAACCTCTACCTCTCACCATTGACAAAAATCAACTCAAAGTAGATCAAAGATCTAAACCTAAGATCTCAAACTATAAAACTACTGCTGTAAAACACTGGGGAAACTCTGGGAGACATTAGAGTAGCCAAAGGCTTCTTAAATAAGACCCCAAAGCATAGTCAATAAATAGACAAATGGGATTACATCAGATTAAGAAGTTTCTGCATAGCAAAAGACACAGTAATTAGTGTGAAACAATAGCTCTCAGAATTGGAAAATATTTTTGTAAACCATGCTTCAGATAAGGGACTGATAACCAGAATATAGAGGGAACTCAAGGAGCTTTCCCAAAAAAAGCTCCCAATTAAAAAATGGGAGAATAAGTTGGAAAAAAAAAAAAAAACACTCTCTAAGGAAGATATACAAATAGCCAAAAGGCATATAAAAAAATGCTCTACATCCCTCATTATAAGGGAGATGCAGAATCAAAACCACAATGAGGGGACCAGCAGTTAGCATAAGGGCTATGTCACTGGACTCCCATGTAGTCGACCACGGTTCGAGTCCCAGACCCAGTGGTTTAAACTCACGCCAGGCGCGTGGTGCATGCGTGCCCAAGATCCCGAGAGGAGAATGGAGGAGAAGGGATTGTGGCGTGGCCATCCCCCCCGGGGGGTGATTTCCTGCTTTCTGTCTCTCTGTCTCTTTCTGTCTGTCTGGCGAGCACACACACCCTATAGCAAAAACCTCTCCAAAAGAAAAAAAAAAAAAAAACCCACAATGAGATACCACCTAACCCTGGTCAGAATGACTAAGATTAAAAAAAAAAAAAAATTTGATAAGGGCTGGCAGGGGTATGGTAAAAGGGAAACTCTCTTACACTGCTGGTGGGAATATAAATTGGTCCAGCCACTGTGGAAAACAATGTGGAGATTACTCAAAGATCTACAAATAGAACTACCATATGATCCAGCAATCCCACTCCTTGGTATCTACCCAAAGGACAGAAGAATGCTTAGTTGGAAAAGTGTTTGCACATCTATGTTTACGGCAGCATTATTCACGATTGCTAACACATAAAACCAACCCAAATGTCCATGAACAGAGGAATGGATTGAAAAAGTGTGGCACATATAGTCTACAGAATACTACTCAGCTATTAAAAACAAGACAATGGCTTTTTACAGAAAGTGGATGAATATGGAAGATTTACTGCTGAGTGAAGCAAGTCAGGCTATGAAGGAGAAACACTGTATTCTCCACCTAACATATACCGACCATCTGCACTCTATGGCTGAAGTGGAATGACTAGAGGATACAGAAAATGGTTATAGATACCAGATACAGTGTGGGAAGAGGGTGAGAGAAGGAGGAGAGTCTGAGGAAAGACATTAAGGAGAAAAATAGAGAGGCAAGACATTTAAGGGACCAAGAAATGGGTTATTATCTGTTGAAGATAACATGTATAGTATTCCTAACTGGACTTTGAGAAATGTATTCATGCTGGAATATTCACTTTACAAGCTAAGTTACATATGTGATTGAATGTATAAAATAAATTGAAATAAAAATATATATAATAAAAAAATAACATTCCTTATCCCAAATGCTGAAAGGGGGTGGGGGGAAGCAATGTATTGCTCTATAGGGTTTGTTAGATATTTCTCAAAGGGAAGATAAAAAGTATGAATCAGGTATTAATAATTCTCAGTCATCATACCATGGAAATCCTATGATTAAGTATTTTTAAGATTTTTATGAAGGCAGCCATTTTTTCTTTTTGCTTATTTTTTTTTTGATTTTTTTAAATTATTTACAATCATTCCCTATACATCAATACAGTATACAAAACGAGATTTCCCACCCAGAATATACTAATATTGACTCAATCAAGGGTATTGTCATACATGTTACCATCAACAAATAATTTTCTATTTCTTGTTGCTTATATACTTTGCTTCCCCCCCTTAATTCCTTATCTCTCACCCTCTGCTAATTCTCCCCCTTCTCCCACACTGTCTCTGATATCTACAGTTGTTTTCTTTTTTTTATTCACTTTTATTTTAAATTTTTATATACATTCAATCATATTATTTAGCTTACAAAGTGAACCTTTCAAGATGTGAACATTTCTCCCCAGTCCAGTTGATTAGAATATCTTCCACCAATAAGACCACACCTCCCCAACCCATCAATGTTCTGTCTCCATATCCCTCCTCCAAATGTCCTTCTTTAGGTCCCTCTTCTCTACACACTCCACTTCTGGCACTAACCCCCATCTCTTGTGTTTGTACAACCTTAGGTCAATCAGTTTCAGTTACAGAGTGCAGACACTCGGTATATATTAAGTGGGGGCATACAGTATCTCTCCTTCATAACCTGGCTTGCTTCACTCAGCAGTAAATCTTCCATATTCTTCCACTTTTTGCCAAAAGCCAGGGTGGTTTTTTTTTTTTATGACTGAATAGTATTCCATAGAGTATATGTGCCACAGTTTTTCAATCCATTCATCCGTATGGGAGCACCTGGGTTGGTTCCATGTCTTGGCAATCATGAATAGTGCCGCAATAAACATCGGTGTGCAAGCACTTTTCCAATGAAGAATTCTTCTGTCCTTTGGGTAGATACCGAGGAGTGGGATTGCTGGGTCATATGGTAGTTTTATTTGTAGATTTTGGAGGAATCTCCAAATTGTTCTCCACAGAGGCTGGACCAATTTACATTCCCATCAGCAGTGTAAAAGAGTTCCCCTTTCATCACACTCCCGCCAACACTTATCATTTTTTGTTTTTTTAATCTTAGACATTCTGACCAGGGTTAGGTGGTATCTCAATGTTGTTTTGATCTGCATTTCCCATAAGATGAGGAATGTGGAGCATTTTTTCATATGCCTTTTGGCTATTTGTATGTCATCTTTAGAGAGTGGTTTTTTTTTTTTCCAACTTCTTCTCCCATCTTTTAATAGGGTTGATCATCTTTTTTCCAAACAGCGGCTTGAGTTCCTTGTGTATTCTGCTTATGAGACCCTTATCTGATGCATAATTAACAAAAATATTTTCCCAATCAGAGGGCTGTCGATTCACACTAATTACTGTGTCTTTTGCCATGCAGAAACTTCTTAGCCTGATGTAATTCCACTTGTCTATTTGGGGGATGATCAACTGTGTTTTGGCGGTCTTATTTAAGAAGTCTTTCCCTGCACCAATGTCTTCCAGAGTTTCCCCAATGTTTTCCAGGAGCGGTTTTATAGTTTGAGATCTTAGATTTAGATCTTTGATCCACCTTGACTTTATTTTTGTAAACGGTGAGAGGTATGGTTTCAGATTCATCTTTCTACAGGTGGAAATCCAGTTTTTCCGGCACCATTTGCTGAAGAGGTTTTCCTTTTCCCACTGAATTGACTGGTACAGTTGTATTCCATGCTTTTTCACATTTTATCTATTCACCAAAGATCTTAATTTAAACTATCAATAGCAAGCACAGCTAATATATACACCTCTATGAACACATATCTGATTTTAGGTGTAAACCCCAGGGAGTAAAGTGAACATACTATAAAGTAGCACCTAGCTGGAGCTATCTAACTTACTGCAGTCATTAATTAGGTATTAATAGGTATTTTTATTGCATCTTTTTTTGTTTTGTTTTGTTTTCTTGCTATAGAGCGCGTGCGCTCGCCAGACAGACAGAACGAGACATAGAGACAGAAAGCGAGAACTCACCCCCCAGTGGGGATGGTCACACCGCAATCCCTTCTCCTCCATTCTCCTCTCGGGATCTTGGGCATGCATGCACATGCGCCCGGCGTGAGTTCTAAGCCACCGGGTCCGGGACACGAACCGCGGTTGATTCGCGGTTGACTACGTGGGAGTCCAGCGACATAGTCATTACGCTAACTGCTGGTTCCCTTTATTGCATCTTTTAATGTCAGGAAAAACAGTTTTATTTTTAATATACCAAAATCAAAAACTATTAAGAGAAATTTAAGTTTTAAAACTTAACGCCATGAAAAAGGTTAGAGTTCAATCCAAATAGTAGGTAGATGAACCTATCAACAGTTCAAGAGAAGACAAAAATATTTAAATATGGAAATCAAATCATTGAAGAAAATCAGTAATGTTTTAGTCTAAAGTAAAAAAAAAATTCTATTTCATTAGTTCAGACTCACATAATTAATCTCTCTTCTATTGAATTTGCAGTGTTACTGTGGCCTGATCTTTCCATTTAAACTCTGGAAGTTAACATTCAACTCCCGACTTGTCTCTACAATTAGGTTGACTATTCTCTTAGTTGTTTCTTATACTCTTATTTCTGTGTGTATGACTTTAGTTTCTCTAGTATAGCACTCCCTTCAGCGCTTCTTGGAGAGCTGGTCTAGTGTCGATAAATTCTTTCAGGTTTTGTTTATCTGAGAATGTTTTTGTCTTTTTTTCCCATATGAAAGATAATCTTGCTGGGTATAGTATTCTTGGTTAAAATTATTTTTCATCTAACACTTTTCCTATGATTAAGTTTTTAATAGGACATAAAAACTTGAAATCCCCCTCTGAGGGGGGGGGGGTTCTGCTTTCTGTCTCCCTGTCCCTCTTTGTCTCTCCAGTGAGCACACTGCCCTACAGCAAAAAAAAAAAAAAATCTTTAAAAAACAAGAAAGGAAACACTATGCTTAAAATCTGCTTTAAGTTTTTAATATTTGCTCCTTATACATAGAATAAATACAAGCTGTTTGTGCAACATATGAATCTCTGCAAGGTATGGTATAGCTCCAGATTTTCTTACAAAACTGTTAACAACTTAGATGAATAAGTTTAATTGGCAATTTCTTAGAAATTTTGTTTCTAAATAATCTTATATTCTTATCAACATAATCTGATCTCAATCTCTGCTTGATATTTAAAATGATCTCTTTTTCTAGTGTTGTCTACTTCCCTTACTAGAGTAAACATTTCCATGAAAGAGAAAAAAAAAGAAAAAACCCTTCAGATGAAATAAATGTACATATAATTAAGCAAATTACTTTCTTAAGCATATTATAACTTAAATTAGGTAGATTCTAATTTTATTTTTATAAATTAGTCCTTAAGCAATAATACTATATGAGTTTTCAGAAGACTAATTTGAACACACTTGACCCATCTATAATTAACAATAGTAAAAATATCAGATGACAAAAAATAGAATGCATTTTCTACATCTTGATAGAGTGATTAGGATAACACTGTATTTCCTAATCAGTTCTGATACTGGTTGATAAGCACAGATCTGGGTAAGTCTAAATTCATTATGGTCCATAACGATCCAAAGAGAGTCATCTAGACAGAAGATTTATTAAAAAGAAGCTGACCCTGAGATCAAAGGGAATCAACTACTCTATTGGAGCATTTTTCAACACATTTATATCCTGCTTAGCAAAAGTAGTCACAGGACAGAGTGTATTACTATACCCTGAGTCTCTGTGTAACATTCTAAAGCTTTCCCAAAACATTGAAGATTGACCCAGTTTCTTTTTTTTTTTTTAAGAGAGATTTTTTGCTACAGGCTTAGTGCCTTGCTAGAGACACAGAGAGAGAGAGAGAGATTGAGAGATAGTGAGAAACCACCTCCCAGTGGCCATACTGCAATCACTTCTCTTCTATTCTCTTCTTGGGATTTGGGGCACACACACACGTGCTTGCCATGAGTTTTGAGCCTTCGGGTCTGGGACTCAAACTGTGGTTGGTCATGTGGAGTCCAGTGCCTTAACCACCACACCAACTGCTGGCCAAACTCAGATTTTTAAAAATTTAACAATGGTCCAAATGGCCATAATCTGATGGTTCTTGTTTGTGAAACTAAGAACCAAATGAAATTGGAACAACTTCTACTAAAAATAGTGGGCTCCAGTGTTTTTTGTACCAATATAGAATCCTTTAAAAAAAAAAAAGTTTCAGGGCCAGACAGTGATGCGGTGGCAAAATGGATGTTCTGCAAAGCTTATCCAAAGGCCTCCTTGGGTACACAGGGCATGTACTTGCACATAATCTGGGGCTGGCTGAAGCTGAGCATAGATAGTGGTTATCAAGACCCTCTTGGGGGTTCTATCTCTCTACTTATCTCTCTTTCTGTCTCTCTTCTCATGGAAGAGATAAATGAATGAGCTTAAAACAGAAAAAAAAGAACTACTTTCTAAGATTGTTTTTAGATAAGGCTCCTTTTAATATCATACTTCTAGCTTGATGTGGGGTTGGTTTTTACAAGTAAAGAGATCTGTTGTCCTATGTATCTTCTTCCTGAAGTTCATGCACTCCAAGAGCAAGAATAACAACAAAGCAGATAGTGGAAGCCGGAGTTGCACAGGAGATACGGAAAGGCTATCAGAGTAATCCCATCTGAAATAACCCAATAACATAAACAGCAAAAAAAAATAACCAACCAAGAAATACTATAACTATATTCCAAGAATGGTTTACACTGACGTATGTTCTGCTCCTGAATCTAGGCATTTGGAATGATAATTAGGTAACTAAGGTAAAAAATCAATGAAATAATAATAACTGAATGGCTACCATCTTACTAAACACATTCTCTTTTACCTTTTTTAATCCAGACATATCAGGCAATACTTGTTAAGATCATTTTTAAGATAACATTTTTAATACCATGATTTCATAGAATACAGGAATAGGATATGCTTGTCTGACAATCCAGAAATAAGACTATGCTATAAGGGATTGAAAATATACTTACCCAATGCCCTGAGCTATATTTTCTAATTGCCGACACATACATGATCGAACTTCATATTCTACATCTTGACAAAGTGATTTTACCAGAGGAAGTATTTCTCTTTTAATGCTGAATGGGGGTGGAGCAGAAAAATAAACATGCAAATGGGTGTTTTAGAATAATTAATATTTTAAAACAATTATCAAAATCTTAACTTAGCTCAATAACAACAAATATACTTTAAAATAAAATTTATAATGTATTTTTATATATGTTAGTAAATTTGGATATTATCATCTGCTACTTGTAAATTATGTAAATGACAGGGTCTTTTTAAAATAATGAGCACTTTTGGATTGGCAGTTAAACATTTGTACCTAAACTAAAAGGCTATCGCAGCAATGTATCTGATTCTAGAAGCAAACAACTAAAGTATTCTTCAATTTTATATTTTACTCTTGAGTCATAATTACATACTCCATTATTTCCTGTGATATTTTTCATCTAGGCAGAGAGTTGCCTGAAAATTAGAAACAAGTTCCATAAAATCCTCAAAATATAATAAATTTCTCAAAATAACAAATTCCTAACAATAATGTAAGAAAGCAGAAATTCTATCTTTGGGTTAGTTCCATGGCCTCTTGGTTAAGGGAATCAGATCCAACATGGTCAAATGCAGTTCAAATCTTGGCCCTAGAAGCTTAAAATACTCCCCAAGAACATGTGCACAGGTGTGTGAATGTGCATGTGTGCGTGTCCAAAATCCCAACAGGATGGCGAAACGGAGGAGAGGGGAATGCGGTGCAGCCATGCCCCATAGGGAGGTGCTTTTTCCCTCTCCCTCTCTGTCTTCCCCTCTCACTGGTGAGCAATTAAAAAATAAAAAGAAAAAGAAAAGAAAGAAAGAATGAAAAGAAAAAAGTAGAAGAAATTCTATATGTCATGCTTACCAATTTTAGAAAGCTATAAAATAAGGCCATTTTCTCCTCAAAGGGTAATTTTCAAGTATAACAAAAGATTGACTATTCTAACAGATAAATGGTACATCTACACAGTGCTCAAAGGGCACAGATCTACATACCTACCAAAATGTAGGTATGAGACAGGAAAGACTGAAGTGGGAAGTAGAAGAAAAGGTCACTGTATAGATTTTTGAAAAGCCATGAAGTTGAGAAGAAATGCATCTGAATAAGTAGACTCCTCCCTAGGAATTCTATAAAGCTAAAATACCTAAACTGGGACCAGGAGGTGGCGTGGTGGCTGGGGGCTGGACTCCCATATGGCCGACCATGGTTCAAGTCCCAAACCTGGTAGCTTGCTTTCTCACTCCCACCACCCCCTCTAGTGAACACACATGCACTAGAGCAAATTTAAAATAATAATAATCAATAAACAAAATTAAATAAAAAATTCAAAAAAATGTAAAAAACAGCTAAACTACTATGCAACATGAAGTAATATAATTCTAACATGATTGTTAATCATATCATCATAATACATTTTGAATCAGTTTAATAAAATAGAGAAAAAACTATACACAAATACTTACGTATGGGCGTCAAATTTGTTGGTCAATTTTCCTAAAATTTTACAACTAACTAAACGAGATTGGACTGTTTGAGAAAGCTGTGCCTTGGAAACAAGGGGATTCAAAATCTAAAGAGAAAAAAATTTAGAAACAAAATCACAAAGGTTCATTCTTGTCACTAATGTCAACTGTCTTCTTCCAAAAGTATTTTAATGTTCTAAATGTTTTCAAAGAACCTGAATTACAATTTGAAGCACATAATTGCTTAAAACCAGGATCACCTTTATCTGTCTTCTGAGTTATTTAAGGTAAAGATGTTGATAAATTATGTAACTAAAAACAAGTGCAGGGGGAACAAAGTGAAGAAAAATTTATAGAGAATTTTACAATATATATGTGCGTGTTAAGTATAATGTGAGGCCCAGTTCTATGGTGAAGCAGTAACATGCTGCTCAAAAGAAGCTAGATATTACATGGTAACTATAGTTCGAATTCTCAGCCTGGTCAGCCTGAAACACACCAGACATGTGTGAGTGTCCAGTATTTGATGGGCTAGAGGACTGGAGAAAGGGGACTGTGGAAGGAGCTTGTCTTGCTCTCTGTCATTCTCTCTCTCTTCTCTCTCACTCTTTCAGGCATGCGCACACTCTATCATGAAGAAGAAAAAAATTTAGAAAGTATTTTGAGTTGTACACTTTCAAAAGAGAAAAATCCAAAGTACTCATCAGATACTCTAAAATTTATTTTTATTCCATATAGATTTTTATATTTATCCTAATGTGATAGAAAATATAATAGCTTCAGTACATTCTGTTGGGTAATTCTATCATCTGAATACAACCACCTAAGTCTGATATTCAAACCTCAACAGCATGACAGTGTAAAGAACCATGATCATCATTCGCTGAGCCTAGCCCCAGCCCTTCAGTTTCTCTAAGTAAACTTAACATTTTTTTTTTTTTTGAGAGAGGTTTTTCGCTATAGGGCGCATGCGCTTGCCCGACAGACAGAGAGAGACTTAGAGACAGAAAGCGAGAAATCACCCCCCGGGGGGATGGTCACACCGCAATCCTTTCTCCTCCATTCTCCTCTCGGGATCTTGGGCACACATGCACACGTGCCCGGCGTGAGTTTTAAGCCACTGGGTCCGGGACACGAACCACGGTCAACTACATGGGAATCCAGCAACATAGCCATTACACTAACTGCTGGTTCCCAGTAAACTTAACATTTTCTTATCCCCAGATTTCTCATCTACTTAAAAGGGAAATTAGAATATGCCATCCTAACATCCGTCCAATTTCTGAAATTCTGTGACTCTAATAAAGGAGTCAAATGGCTTTCCTTTCAACAAAGTAGACATAATTACTAAATTCATAATAATAAACAGAATTTAAAAGTGAAAAGTTTGAAATCAAATAAAATGCATATCTGAAGTCTTAAAATTCAGATTAATTTAAGTCTTAAAAATCATATTAAATAATATACGGCACTCTATAGAGTAAAAATCGCATTCTACCGTATGTCACTATTCCAAAAATGTAAATAACACATCTACATTACATTCAACATTTCTATATTTGTAATTATCTAGTATACAAACATCGTATAACTGGATAAATCTTCCCATTATCAAGTAAATATTTTGACATTACAATAGAACCATAAATTGTACTGTATGAGGGCAAAGAAAGGACCAAAATGAAATCAGTGGAGGGTATTTTATTAACTATAACTGTTTTTTTCAAGCATGACTTATTTGAAAAGAAACATATTATAGGGATGATCAAAGAATGCAAAATCATTTCACTAAAGGATAATTTTCTATTTTTGACTTCTTTTATCTTAACTTGCACAAAGCCTGTAGAGAAGAGCATACTGAACAATGTTGAAAACTAAAAGGCAAAGAATATATTGGAAAAAGATCTACAATAACATTTGCGAGTATAACAAAAAATTGACAACCCTAACAGATAAATGGTAAACATACACAGTGTTCAAAGGGTAGGATCAGACAATCCCAAAAGAAAAATAAACTGATACAATACAATACATGGGAAATAATTCAACAGAATACTTTTAAAATTCTAATTAAAATATCAATCCATTTCTGGCCTTTAAATTAAATGGTAAAACTTAGAATGATGACTTAGTGATATATACCTAAAAGAGATAGAAAGAAAGGGAGGGAAAGAAGGAGGGAGAAAGAAAAGAAAAAAGAGATTACCTCATGCCTTAGGGTTTCTTTTGGCAATTCTTCTATCACAGACAGAAGAGTTTCCAGCCATGCATTGCTGACACCTGATTGACAGATATAGCATGCTAAATAAATGGTTCAATTACAAATTAAGCTTTGTCTCAGTCACTAATAGTCAAGGTATCATTTAATGATAAAATGGAAATAATTACTTTTATTATTATTATTCTAAGGAGTTTCTCTACTTTCTTTTGTCTTAGCTAATATATATATATATATATACACACACACATACATACACACACACACACACACACACACACACACACACACATATATATATAATGTATATTTTAAACAATAATATTGGGAGACTATCTTTTTGCCCAAGATGTGCTTTTTTGCCATATGATAATGCTATAAACATAAATTTTGTAATAGATACAAATCTAAGCTTTCAAAGATACTGAATTGTGTGGTCTTTAGAAGGAGAATGGCTATTTTAAGTCATACCACTGGACAACTCTTAGACAGCATGGCCTCATTCAGTTAATTCTCATCAGGCAAACTGCATTCAAATAACAAAACTGCCACATAAAAGAAATAATAATTAAATACATAATTAAGCATGCAGGCGCCTAACCTGCGTCCCTGTGCTCCAGATGCAGCAGAATGACTTGGAGGAAGGAGTGGGCATATGTATGAATTGACACTGATTCTTCCTGTAGAATGGTCAAAAATGACACCGCAGCTGTTAACTGCATCTCCACTCCTGCAACATGCAGGATTTCCTGTATAATCAAAGAAAATTTGCTAGTTACACAGATGAGAGATCAGAAATTATAATTCTAATAAGTTCAAGATTATAGGACCATAGTCATATTCCACAAATTAGTAAGTATGACCTTCAAAGATATACACTACTTATTGTATCCGCTCCTGATCATTTAACTCATTAGGCCATATAAAACTGAAGTATCTTAGGAGTTTATAAAGTAAATTAACATTTCATTGCTTTATTAAATAAAAGTTAAATAGTACATAAATCTTTAAACAACAGAGTAAGGATTCTTGCTAAATTTCAATTTCTATTTGCTCTTTGAATTGTACAGCTTGTCATCCTCCCCAAAGAATAATGTCAAAGCTCAGAAATGCATGTGTTCCATTACTTTTATTTCTGCTTCAAAAAACAAACATTATGCATTCTACTATAAGAAGGAATATACTTAAAAGTGTAGAAATGTATCTTCCCTTTTAAACAACTAATCAGAACATAAATAATGATGAAGTAAATTGTTTTTAAAAGTTTCTTAAATATAAGAGCATGTTTTTAACAATTAACTATATTCACAGCCATCTCCATTTACACTTAAAGAATTTTTAAATGCATATTTGAACTTAAAGCCTATATTAGAACATTGGTTTTCAACACATCAGAGTGGGGGGGGCTATATTTCTAAACAAGCTTCATCAAATATATCACTTACACTTCTCTAGAAGTGTGTGTGTGTGTGTGTGTGTGTTGTGTATGTGTGTGTGTGTAATGTAGAGGCACTTAGAAGAATTACTTTTTTTATTCCATTATGGCGATTTCCCTTATATGCCTATTTTATAACTCATATAGCAATGTTAGTACAATAACATGGAACTTACATAAAACAGTTTCATATCGTAAGATAGTTAAATTTCCTTCATTAGTTCCTAATGTATAAAATGTGAATTACAGGGACCAGCAGATTCCATGTAGTAGATTGTGGTTTGAGTCCCAGATGGGTGGCTTAAAACTCATGCTGAGCACGTGTACATGTGAGCCCAAAATCCAGAGAAGAGAATGGAGGAGAAAGGACTGCAGCATGGCCATTTCCCCTGGGGGCATGATTTTTCACATTTTGTCTCTCCAGCAAGCACATGCACCCTATAGCAAAAATCTCTCTCTAAAAGAATTTAAAATTAAAGTGTGAATTACAGTACCATCATCAAAGAGATTTAAATCATTTAAATAGAACTTTCCTGATTTACCAACTTATTGTGCAAAATGAGCATTAAATAATAACCACTGCAAATCCAACTATCTCCTCTGTATCCCTTGGATATCTAATAGGAATCTCACCTTATCCACACTTGACTGATCTCTCCCTCAGATCTGCTCCCCCTGAAATCTTCCTCATGTCAGCAAATAGTAAATGATGACTCTGTCCTTCTAGTTGCTCAGCCCAAAAACTTTGGGGCCATTCTTAGCTCCTCTCTTTTCTTCACTCACCCCAATCAAAAAGACCAAAACATCCTGAAGGTCCAGCCTTTGAAAGAAATCCGTCCAGAATCTGACCATTTATCACCTCTACCACTACCATCTTAGTCCAAACCACCATCATCTCCAGCCTGGATTATTCTAATAACCTTTAAGTAAATCATGATTCCATCATTGGCCCTCTATCATCTATTCTGTATATAGCAGTCAAGGACATCCTTTTAAGAAATAAGTCAGACCACTCCATTTTTCTGTTTAAAACCCTCAACGACTTTCCATCTCACTCAAAGAAAAAACAAAGTTCTTTTCATGACTTCCAAGATCTGTTCTCAATTTTCCCTTTTCCAAGATTTCCATGTGGCTGGCTCTCTGATGTCTTTCAAATATTGCCTTTTCCATAAGGCCATCCCTGATGACCCTATTTTAAACTGAAAGCCACCTCCTTACCCAAGCTCTTATCACCCCTTTTCACAAGTGTCTTCCTCACCATCATCCAACATACAACTGACTCATTTGTTTGTGGTGCATCTCTCAGACCTAGAACATAAACTTCACGACTGCAAGCATTCTTGTATGTCTGTTTACTGCTGGATCCCCAACTCTTGACACATAGCAGGCATCCCATAAGTAACTACTGGCTGACCAAATAGCTCTCACCTTTTAACCTAAACTCCTGCTCTTGAGCTCTCTTCCTTCACGCACATTTTCCACATCTTCTAAAATGTTTATCAAGAGATTTGGAAGTGAGTATTAAAGATTAGGGATTAGCAGAATTAGACGGAAGGCAAAGCAAAGATAGCTCTTGTAGAAATGTATCCTCAATCCTCTTTCCTGCCTTCTTCTGCTCCAGAATCTCTGTAACCAAGATTTAGGCCACATCTCCAGACTCCTTGATCCAACACAGTAGGCCCACTGCCATCCACCATACTAGCAGAAAATATATGTGTTTCTACCAAGGAAGAAACAGACTCAGAACAGTGACGTATTTTGCTGAAGGCCAATAAGCTAATAACTGGCAACTCAGACTTGACCTTTTATCAGATTCCAAATGAAGCATGAATTCGTCCTCACAGTCACACTTCCGTTCCTCACTTACTAAGCATGGCGAACATCAATCCTAAGCTTTCACATAGTGGTGTGGGAGATCTGGCAGCGGCATTTGCTGTGTCAAATGTTTACATCCCAGAACACCTATCACATATTAAGGTGGCTGTTTTTTGCTTTGTTCTGTCATGAGTTTTACCACATACAAACATTATTTTACAAGCTTTTTCATCATATATCTTAAGAGATCATGGCTGAGAAAAAAGAGAAGGAATGTTAAGGTGTGAAGCAGAAGCAACAACTTGGTCTCTGAAACCAATCTTCTCTTATCCCCCATTTTACTCTTTCCAAACTCAATGCTTTTTTTTTTTCACACTAACAATTTTTAATTTTAAAAACGCTTTTAAAAGACTTGATGTGGCCAGCATACATCACTTACAGGTTGCAGAAGACACAGATTTTATTTAGAAACAGAAAGGAGTTTGCAAAGAAATATAATAATAAATTGTGAAGGCCACAATGTGCATTCTGGTTGACATGAGACTGCTGTTTTAAGTTCCAAGAGATATAATTCTTCCCCCTCTTAAAGTCATTAAAGTCTTGGTTTCTGTACGTATGCAAACTTTATGCAAAAGAAGAACATGAGAAGCTCTCCAACTTCTTATCTTCTTACTGTATTACTTAGTCTTGACTCCCGCAGCAACATTTGCCCCAACTATTTTGCATTTAATTTTCGAAAAATCCTCAAGTCTTATCAGGATTTGGGTTTTTCTCTTGTTGTGCTGACTTCAACATCTGGGACTGTCCACTGTTAAGAAACCAGCACAGACTAAGAGATTTTATCACTGCTAAAAATCAATTGATTTCTAAATATATTTTTCTAGAACATAATACTATAAGTTTGATACTTACCAATATGAGTCCTCCTCCACAGAGTCACACCCTCTGGACAAACATATGTGAGATCCATACTCTCTGGATAAATAAGTGTGCATCCTCCTGGACCTTGGAAGACACTGAAAAGTAAATTCCTCTATTGCTTAAGTGCATGCCTTAATGCCAGTTACCATTCCTCTTACATACTATTGTATGGCTGGCATCCCAAATCGAATTCCTCAAAAATGAAATGAGACATTTTATAACTGAGTTAATGGTACATTTCCAAATTTTAAAAACTATTCCCATTCAAGGAAGAAAAATGTATTGGACATTCAATATTTAAATTCATTTTTCAGAAAGCATGAATAGTGCAAAAACGTGTTTTATAAAACAATTCCTTGCAGAGAGGGAAATAGCTCTGTCTCATATAAACCTGCACTATACCCATCAAGAAGATATTTCTCTTTACTGTACATAACATAGAGAATAACTGAATAATAAGTCATTGGTTTATTCCAAATGGGCAAATATTTTGAATTTGCACATTCTGAAACTAATCTTACTGAACAAACCTGGAAAACACATTTCCTGCGAATGGTGCTGGTAAAAGGTAAAGGAACTCTGAAATTACAAAGGATCTTTGTGCATTTTTACATCATTTATATTAATATCACTGGTTATTTTGAAATAAAATAATAAGAATAAAAACATTTAAAATATTGAAGAGCTAAGACATAAAGTATCTGAGGTATTGAGGGTCATAAATGTGGAGATTTTCAGTAATTAATAACAGAAAACATTTCTTTTCACTATAAAATAATATCAAAAAACAGTCAAGTAGAATAAAATGTAAATTAATTGGAACATGACAAATATAAGGTACCATTAAAAATGAACTATGACACTTCATTCTTTTCTTTATTACTGATTGCCACATTCCACACTAAAATAAAAAGCACAGTGAATTAGTTGAGAACAGTCAGAATCAAAATCTCAGAGGAAAAACAAGGTGGAGGCAGTAAACAGTAATAACAAAGGAATGTGTTTAACATTTCTTAAAATATGTATTTCAGTGGTTAGCAAGGTTCATGAGGAGGTACACATAAAAATATCCTGAAGATCTCTTTCCATAAAGGAAGTGCCAATCCCAATAGCAACTCTCATAACTATTGTAAATGTGCAATGAAATATCTTGCCGAGCAAAATCACAAGAACACCAAACAAATAAATAAAGACCATGCTTTTGAACTGAGCTTTTAGCTAAGCTACTTTGCTAAGTTATTTTTGCAATAGTAAATTACAATCAGGGATGATTTCTTAGTTTAGGCTTAAAACATAAATAAGCAACAATCTAAAACTTTACCCAAAAAAGGATGCACTTATCAAAGAAATATCTATTTAACTGATGTGATAGCTATAAGTAATCATTTCAAATCATCCATTATAGCTATATTTAATTAGTTAAATGTTTTAAATCATAAATTATTTTCTTAGGGGGAAAAATGGAAAGTCTCACAAATACCTATAAGCAAGTGGAAATAGGACCTCTTGACTAGTCAGTCATCCTGCTTTCATCTTCTATTCTAATCTCTAAGGTAGCCCAATGAAAATTTAATTCTG